TTGTGCTTTTACCCAGATTGAAACGCTTGTAATAAAGATATGATCACCTGAATGTGGAATTCTGTTTATTGATTCACAGTGTTTGCGGTTCGTTTACAATCATCGAGTGCTTGTTCTGTTGAACAAGGCACCCCTCTGTACAGCCAAATGCGACAACAACTCTACTGTTGCATGGTAGCATTGCGAACTGTCCAAACAAGGCAGGATTGATTCGAAGAACATCTCATTTATTGATATCAGATTCATCTGCACATTGTTTCATTTCTAACTCGGTTTCTGCAGCGTTATGGAAATGTCATGACAGAGGAAGAAGTTGCAGTGCAGAAACATCATCCAAGGTCATGAAACATGGAAATGCGATTGTCAATGCACTTGATCATGGATATAGTGATTCATGATCAACAACGATTATTTAAAGTCATCTATCCTGGCAGGTAAAGAAATCCTTTGTGCAAACGTCTCTTCATGCATCATTGAACGGTTGAGCATGTAAAGCTTTCTCTATAGAAAAGTGAGGTGCATGAATCCTGAACGTAAGACTAGAAGAATTCAAAGTGAGTGATGACATGAGAACACATATCTAGACAGCAAAGTCGCTTAAAGTACAAATTTTGATACAAATTTCTCACAAATCATGCATTTGTGCTCAACGTGCAACCTACGGCAATTTGAAAGAAGGGTCAATCAGAGTTGATTCTGTTCAATGGTGAATCTATTATTAGTTGCTTAGCTGTTCATGAAAATTTCATCTTGTCTTCGAAGAATATTTGCAAGCACACTCGCGGATTGTTTGAACCTAGGGTGCATATTCCAGTACACGATGGATGATTCAAACCTTGGCCCAACCTGCAGAGTTGAGTAAGAAGCTCGATCATATCTTACAGGTATGATATGAGATCTCCATCTCATTCCTATCTCAGTTGGGTTGGATTCGAAGTCTCTCAATATCAAGGTTCATCCTCGCGAGTCAGGAAGGCACCATTTCATCGCCTCTTGCTCGTCCAGGGAGAGGGGGCTTGGGGAATGAGAAAAGGGGGCTACCCCCCACCCCCTATCACAGAGTTTCAAACTGTTTCAAAGGTGGGTAGTTGAGGGTGCTCCGTACCCACCCCACCCCCCAACGAAAGTCAAACGGAGGGGTTCTCGGAAGTCGAAGTTCCGACCAGATTGGCCCTCGTTTTGTACCATATAAACGCTGCAATATTAAGTTGGTACCACAGATACTTCTAAAATTCGTACTTTTACTTTGGTTTGGCGTGGTGAGGTGTCCAAGCAACCAAATTCAAATCACCCTACCCCTCTTTGGCCCTGCGCAGCAACGATTTTCCTAAGAGCGAGTACCCTCCCACACGCCTCCTCAAAGTAGGGTACTCCCATATGGCATGAAATGAAGGGACCCCTCAGGCCCTTCGAAAAAAAAAAATATTGCCAATTTTTCCTATGAGCGCCCGGCCGGAAAAGCAACGCTATGATATGCCCAAAGGATGTCAATCAGGCCGATCCAAAGCAAAGAGACATAATCAGGACTTTTTGGAGAGATTTCCGATCAATTAGTACATGAACTGGTTTATAGGTAGAAAAACCCTGGATTTTCAACTCAATTTCCAGTTGAGTTTCGACCTCGAAAAAAATCCTATACGTATAAATACGTTGCAAGTTTTTTCTTCCCGGCTTCTCTCCCATATCATTCTATACCTCCCCGCGACCCCTCGGCTCAAGAGGCTCATAACCTGTTTCCACGGGCCCGGACGGCCCGCACGGGCCTGGAGCTCGCCGGAGAGGCCCGGAATATGCCCAAAGGATGTCAATCAGGCCGATCCAAAGCAAAGAGACATAATCAGGACTTTTTGGAGAGATTTCCGATCAATCTGGTTTATAGGTAGAAAAACCCTGGATTTTCAACTCAATTATGACATTCAGAGCATTTTCGAACATATCATGATCTTCCTGCTGCTTGTCCTTATCGACAGCCTCGTTGGGAGCTTCCTGCTGACTGTCATTATTAACAGCCTCCTTGGGAGCTTCTTGCTTGTCCTTATTGACAGCCTCCTTGGGAGCTTCCTGCTGTTTGTCCTTATTGACAGTCTCCTTAAGAGCTTCCTGTTTGTCCTTATTGACAACCTCCTTGGGAGCTTCCTGCTGTTTGTCCTTATTGACAGCCTCCTTGGGAGCTTCCTGTTTGTCCTTATTGACAGCCTCTTTGGGAGCTTCCTGCTGTTTGTCCTGATTGACAACCTCCTTGGGAGCTTCATGCTGTTTGTCCTTATTGACAGCCTCCTTGGGAACTTCCTGTTTGTCCTTATTGACAGCCTCTTTGGGAGCTTCCTGCTTGTCCTTATTGACAGCCTCTTTGGGAGCGTCCTGCTGCTTGCCCTGTTTGGTAGTACCCACAGAAGAAACAGCCTTCTGTTCCTTTAGCTTATTCTGCTTGTCTACCAATGCAGAGAAAACTTCACTTTCTTCGTCTTCTTCGTCGTCCTCACCCTCCTCATCTTCCTCATCCCCTTTCTCATCTTCTTTATCATCATCATCTTCCGACGAAGAATCTATAACCTCCATTTGCTTTTTGGATTGCTCTGTATCATCATTCGAAGACATGGCAACCTCGAGCGTTGATCCCACTGTCCGCTTAGGAATGTCCTTGATATAAACATCGTTGTGTTTGCGGAAGACTAATGAATTGACCAGAACATCAGGTTGCGACTTCATACACTGCTTCACGATATCGATGAGCACAGCATTACATGAGTCGTCAACCTGATTGGCATGCGAACTGCACAAAGAGAATGCAAAGAACTTCTTTACCTCGGTAGGACTTTTCAGACTTTCCACATTGAATGACTTATCCTTTCTGGTAAGAGTTCGAGTCACCAATGCCATGGAACAGCCCTTGTATACTCTGTCGCCGTCGGATGCGCACAGCAAGCAGCGAGCTTGGAATTCTTTCTCCTTGTACTTGTCAGGGTATGAAAGCTTCTTGATGTTATGCTTCACAGTAAAAGCAGCAGGCGGAACCATGTCAAGACATGGAAGGCATTTCTCGGCGACTGAACTTCTCTTGACAAAGAACACATGATTGTGCTGCTTACTCTCTTCAGAAGATGTCACTGTCTTGAACCAATCCTTGAATTCCCACCCATAGCTAACACTAAAGGCTTCATCATACTGAATCTGTTCGGATGCAGTAAACATGACACCTTGAGACTCAAAGATGTCTGGGGCCTTTGTCCGTACACGGTGGGTAGCGGTAGCTTTCACCTTGGAGTTGTTCTTGGGTGACATTGCGTGGCGACGGATCGTGGTTGTGCCGCCACCAGAAGAGATGGGGATCAAATAGAGGGGCGGCCTTTCCCCCCTATTTTTTTTAAGAGGGGGGGGGTGGGTGGTAGTTTTTTTAAAAAATAACTCAATTTAAAAAAACACCCTACCCTACCCGATTTAAAAAAAATTAATCAAAATCACAGAAGGGTGTCTCTGACAGCAACTAACTCACATCATGCAAGAAGACAAGGAGAAGGATCTGTTCCAGCGCTTCACCAAGCTGTTCCTGGTAGGTGAAAACCTGAGAGACATGATGGTTTACATGTGTAATACCTGCACCTCTGATGTTCAAGATCCGATAACCCATACCATCTGCATCTTCCTCTCCACCCCAGTGAGGATCAGCATCACAAAGATCGGTCTGGCTCCATTTCAGGGTTTCAACACGGCGATATTTCCCTTCTTTTGCATGCGAGAAGAGCAAAAACATCTTCTCCTCGAAATACTCCAATTTATGCAGGAGAACAGCAGGGCGACGCTTTCAACGCAGATGGGCGGGGGCGGGATGGCAACGCTGAAGCCCGACGGGCAACGCATCTACCTCGACACATCCGAAGTCATCTTCCAGTTCTTCCAGGCCACGAAGGAGTCCGAGAGGACGGGGATGAAAGCACATGTCAGGGACAAGGTCTGCAACATCATCCTTCAAAGGGTATGCAGCGCAGTTCATATCCCCCGGCGGACGCTGAACGAGATCATGGAGAGGGCAAGGGAATTGTGAATCATTAAACGCTGTTTTATTCTTTTCACGTCACTCATCATCGTCATCCGACTCACGTCCACGCTTAGATGGCCTTCCAAGCTGCTTCCTCAGTACCTCAATCTCAAGCCTCTTCTTCTCGTTCTCGAGCTCAGCAGCCTCCTCATTGAGCTTGTACATCGCCAGCTTGTGACGAAACTCACAAGACTGAGAAACTTGGGGAAGATACTTTTCCTGTGACTTGTGCCCATATATCATCAAGAAGTGGATCCAACCATCATTCTCCTTGATCTTCTCGGCGTCTTGAACATCCTTCTCCACTTGTTTGTTGATGAAGGTGACATCACTTTCGTTCAACAACCGAAACAGGGCATCCCAGATCACTCTGGCAGACACGTACAAGACATCATTATCATGCATCTCATACACAAAGTCATCAGACTTTTCCGTCTCAATGATCTGCACAGTGAAGTCCACCAAGAACTCATCCAACCTCTTGATGTTCTTAGAGCTTGGATCGATATGCTTCTTCAGCACATCATCGAGGTTGTATAGGGTGGGCCTCTGCAAAAGCACGTCACCGTCAGACTTTGGCAACCAAAAGGAGTGTGGCATCCTCTTGTTGTGTTGGGCCGCCGAGCCACTCTCCGTTTTATACAACCCCGCTCCTACCCCACCTCCGCCAACGAAGCAGATCATTTATCACCACCCTCACCCGTTAAATTACCGGGCTCTACCCCGTGAAACCACCCACCCACCCCTCTTTATCCCAATTTCCGCATTTAGGAAAAAAAAGAGGACTCGACCACCCACCCCTTGCAGAGGGGGTTTAGATTTAAATTAAATATACCCCCTGTCTGTACCTAATTACCACGGGTAATAAATACCACCCACCCCCAATTAAAGCCATCCACGAACCTCCCGGTCCCCCCAATAAAAGCGGGGTGGGGGGAATTTCGCGCACCCCCAGCTTTCCCCCATGTGTGCCGCCACGCTGCCACACAATCAATGGATCGTGCGCTATTCGCAGGTCGCGGCCTACGGCCACTGCGCCCTCCACTCCTACAACAGATCCCAGTTCCCCCTCCCCTCGTCCATCACCGTCGTGCAGGAATTCACCGTCGGACCGGTCACCGCGTTCGCCGCTCGCACCGCCGCCGATGACATCGTCATCTCTTTCGGCATCGACGAGGAGGAGGAGCGCAGCATGCTCCAGCACGGGGGACTGACTCAGCTCGCCTCCGTCTCACCCAAGTGGAGTGACAAGAGCATCAACGTCAAGGTCCACACGCCCGTCGCGGATCTGGCCCGTACCTTCATTCAATCTCCGGCGCTCGACGAGCTCTCCTCCTTCCTCCGCGCGCAACCCGCCGGCACCTTCGTCTTCACGGGATTCTCCTTCGCGTGTAACGTCGCCGAGCTGGTCCACCTGTTCTACTGCAGATTCGGGAAGATTGGCCGCGAGCTCACCTGCGTCTTCTTCGGCCAGCCCTCCATCGGCACGATTATGTACGAGACCGTTCGCGGCGCTCACCTGCGGAGGCATTCCAATATCCCGATTCAGAAATCCATCAGCTTCTACCGCCACGATGACAACATCGGTATACTGTTTACGGGAAAGGTGCGCGGAATCTTCTACCCCGACTTTGATAGCGGGAGCACTGGTATCATCCGAAGGTCCATGGAATTCGACGGAAAGGTGCATGGCTACCCCCAGCACATCATCTCCACCGAAAGCAAGGAGGACATCCTTGGAGGGCACGACGTGGCCAAGTATCACGAGTGCATCTGTAAGATAGAAGCTTTGGGGGATGACCGGATCGATAATATCCCATACGAGAACAAGTACAACGCATGCTTCCAATCTGCCACCACCCTCGCGCAGGAGATCAGTGAGAAACTCCTGCTCAACCCCAAGCCGTTTGTCGAGCGCATTTTCCCCGTACGCGAACCTACAGAGTATTTCCTGGCCATCATGCATGGTAACAAGTGCATAGACGACGGGCTCAACGACGGAGAGACGAAAGATATCATCAACAGGGCAGTCTCGCAGGACCTTACCAAGCCTTTCATGGGACTCGAGAACATCTCACTGATGAAGAAATTCATCGACCATGTCGTATTCCTCATCGAGCGCAGCATGAAAAAGGAATCCCTCCCCTTTCCAAGCACTGTCCACAACGTTCGCGACCTTCCGGATTCGGACATCATCGCCATCTGCACCGCCATCGCCATCACGCAGGACGATCACATATTGAACTCCATCTTGCACCTGCATGTCTTTGATATCCGCCGCAAGGCCTGCGCCATAATGGCCCATCTCCGCCTGATAGTTGATATATGCAAGTTTGCCACCAACTGGAACGTCGAGTGCATCTGGAACCCCCACTTCCAGTTCGTCACCGACCTCGACAACTACCTGATGTCTTTCTCCAACTGGCAAGACAACATCAAGTACGAGCTCGACGATTTCAAGGCAGACAAGGATTTCTGGGAACAGCTCAAACTTTATTCCGACGATTCCCGCTGCCGCTACTACTTCTTCCTCTCGCAGGAGGTCTTGAGAACCGCCACCAAGTACCAGTTGCCCATATGTGTGCGCAACCCCCTCCTGTTTTCCGAGTCGGAGATCGCGATGGAGGCGCTGCCAGCCCCGCCCGCCTCCTCTGCCGAGCCGAAGGTGCGCGAGAATCCATTCATCTTCACACCGAAGGACCTTCTCAAGGAGGAGACATTCTGGGATGACATGAAGAACTACGCGCACGAGAACAACATCGATTACAGGTCGATACACATGCTCCGCCTCCTCTGCCGCTACATGGACAAGCACGATGTCGACATCTTTGTCTACCTCCCCCCTAGCGGTAACTGAATAGAGTCTTTCAAGTAATATACGAAAAAAAGGAAGAAGGGGTGTGTTTCGTCCCCAGCGCTCCGCGGGGATAATTAGGCAAGACCAGGGACGGGAAAGTCCATAGAAAGCGAGGCATGATCTACCTCCTCCACCGCCTCTTCGAGGACAAGAGGCTGACCTGCGTCCTCTTGATGACCTGGATGGTGATGGTGCTGGCGATCTTCTCCGAGCTCGGGGTGACGGACTCGAACTTCATGACACTAGGGCCAGGCGAGCACTCCAAGATCATGGGGGTGGAAATCAACAGCTGGTACAAGTGGAACTGCGTCGCCGTCTTCACCTTCGTCTCGACCTCCATCAACGACTTTGTCGGCGACGCCATCTCCCCCTGGATCCAGAACACCATCCAGGACCACAAGACCAAGTTCCTCCCCTACTCGAAGTTCACCTGCATCATGATCACGCAGATCTGGGCGCTGTACTGCTGCGTCATGAACGTCTTCGCGCTCTTCGTCATGCTCTCCCAGGTCGATTTCCTCATCATCCGCATCTGCGCCGACCTCCTCGTCAACATCTACACCAGCCTGCGGTTCATGAAGGGCAAGGTCGTCGACCCCGAGCGCTACGCCGCCTGGATGAGGGCCGAGGGACCGGGGCACGGCCAGTCCCACTGCTGCCACACCCCCGAGCCCGGTATTCTCCTCTCATCCATTGCCGTGAGACAGGAGCACGACGAGAAAGCTGCCGAAGACAAGCATGCCAACGAGACCGAAGAGCCCGAAAGGAGGGGGAAGAGCATGGACCGCCTGTTGGTTGATATTCACAAGCACCCTTAGCGGTACATTCCGTTTTGGTAGTCCCGGAAAGTCGAAGCCACGTCTTGAAGGTCCGAGCGGATCGCCGCCAGTGTGTTCATGTTCAAATCCATCGTGGTCTGAGTTGGGTCTATTGTAAGGGCTCTGATAATCTTATGATTAAGCTTGTCGTTTATCAGTAGATCCACAATTTTCTCTTTCATTCTTACGAGTGATTCTGTAATCTTTTTCATATTATTTATCTCATCACTTAAGTTATTCAATCTAGCACGTATCACCTTCATAGTTTTCGATTTTTGGTGAATCATACTGGCGTGTGTGTGTTCACTACCCGTAAAACTCTGATTGTCCCATTTCTCTTCTGCTGACTCCATCATCCTTTCCAATACCAGAACTCTTTCCTTTAATTTCTTATTTTCCTCGTTTAAGGGAAACAAATTATCTACTTTTACATTTAAATTATCCACTTTACGCATGTACGCAGATTGCTTTTGTATCTCTTCTCTAACAAATGCCATCTGATTAGTGATCATTTGCAAATATGTTTTGGTTTTATCATGCATTATCACATCAATCTTTGCCTCCATGATTTGAATGATATCTTCCTTTAACTCATTCATCGCGCCTTTATCTAATTCACCTTCCGACTGGACATCAGATTCATAACCCCTCTCTGGAATCTCTGCACTCCCTGCCTCCGACATCCTTACCCAAAGAACCCCAAGGTACTTTTATGCAAACCGATCGCGTACTTCACACGACGCCACGAAAAGATCTATATACATCGGAAGCAAAACATCTTGTAGATATGGCCCCAAGCTTCAGCATCAGTGAGGAGGACGGGGAGGAGACGACGAAGCCCCCACCCGAAACACGCAACGACAGCCCCCTCCGCAAGAGCCCGATCCAATGTATCTTCGTGTTCCGGCGGCCGGTGATGCTATCCGACCGGATCATCAAGCTCATGACGGGGCCCTTCGCGCACGTGGATCTGTATGTTCATCGGGAGGAGAAGCCCAACGACAGCCCGAGTCTCACCACTTTCATGGGGGAACACTTCAGCATGTCGGTGAACATGCGAAAGTCCTACAACAGCCGGGACTATGAGGGACTGCACCTTCGCCTCGACCCTGTAGAGAGCGCGAAGCTCTTCGATTACGCCATCGACCTGGTGGAACGCCGCGTGCCGTACAATTTTGCCGACCTGCTGTACCAACCGATGAAGGCCGTCCTCCCGGATAGCGGATTCTTTGAGGACGTCCCTAACGAAAGCTCCTTGCAGGTCAAAAAGGTCTTCTGCTCGCAGGCTTTCGTCCTAGCACTGCGCAACAGCCTGCACAACGACGACCTCGCCGGGGCACTCATCGACGAGAGCCCAATCCAGCGGAAGAAGCTGCTCTGGAGGCTGATCAGCGAAAACAGCCGGCTCTGCACCCCCAGTGACCTCTACCACATCCTCAGGCCGCACTGCAGGAGGGTGGACATGGACCGGCTCCGGCACGGCCACTTGTCCTACACATAATAAACATTTAAGAAATGCCCACGGTGTGGCTTCTGGACTCCATCAATATAGACAGCTTCACGTGGGATACTGAGCAGCAGAAGATGCTGTACCATCTCTGCACGAGGGCGTCGTCTTCCTGGAAGAGCCTGCACAGCTGGTCGACCTCGTCTGTGTCCTGTCTCCCGACCCATACCCGCACCTGGTTTTTGACGATGTGCTCGATCTTACAACAAAACCACAAATAGAGGATGAAGGGGGAGAACTTCTGGTGCACCACAATCGAAAACGAATCCTTCCCCTGCCTTCCCACCTCCACACACATGTCCGACCTGGCTCCCGAGATGCTGCAGATGAACCACCCATTCTTGCGTCGTACGGGGGGTGCGGAACTCGTCATCACCTCCAAGCAGAGACGATATAGCTTGTCCTTCCCCTGTGTCTGCAGCGTCTCCACCATGGCTTGCACAGTCTTGATGTCACTCATCACCTGTTGCACCCCTGTATGGACTTTGATTGCCCATGCATCGGCGTTCTCCTTGCACTGCGAAAAGTACCGCTTGTACTGGTTGTCGTCCCCGATGACCTCAAAGGCCTTGTTGCAGCAGTAATCCTTGAAGTGTTCATATGTGCTAAGACATGAGGTAGACTCCCGAAGCTCATCCTCCACCGCCACATCCTTCGTCGCACCCACGATGCCGCGCAGCTCCGATACAAAATCGGACGCACTCATCTGAGGCCGACCCGGCATTGATTACCCCACGGTTGCCGTTGAGCCCCGCGACCGTTTTTTTTTTAAAAAAAATTCAAATTCCCCCTCGAGACCCTATTTTAAAAAAGAGGGTCGCCGCCGACCGTACCCTCACACCACACACCACGCATGGACACTACACCGCAGCTCGCCCTCTGGCTCATCAAGTCGCTCAACGAGGACACCATATTCGTCAAGCTTGCAAGCAAGGCAGAAGGCAGCGAGGATGAGGACGACTTCGAAGGCATCCTTTCCCCGCTGCCGACCACGGTTGATCTGCAGATGCCAAATACCCCGGTGAAGAAAAGGAAGACCTTTACACCTATCCACTCGCCGGTGGCGTCTGACGCTGACTTTTCATCCCTCTCCGACTCGGACTTCTCCTCCCTCTCGGAAGCAGAGACGGGTCAATGAATAATAATAAAAAAAGGATCCATCCATCACCTTGCACACCCCCGCGTCACGCACGGCAAAAACACATCGATGTCCCTCTCAGGGAAGTACGACCACGTCCTGATCCACGGGGTCGTCGATCCAGCGTCCCTGCCCGCCTTTACCGAATTCCTCATCGAGATGAGCAACTACATCGTCGCCCCGAAGAACGAGCACAGCGATGCGGTGCAGAGGGTGGCGTTCTACGGCTTCGGTGACATCCACTTCCGCGTCTCGGTCTTCCGCCTGCTGCAGGCGTGCTTCATGGCAGAGTGGTACTGGTCCTCCGAAGTGGTGCCGCACCGTTGGGAGATGCTCGTCCACATCCCCACAAGGCACAACATCACGGCCGCCCAGCTCGAGCGCTTCTGCTCCTTCTGCCGCAACGGGGTCAGCTGCGACGTCATCGAGCGCGGCATCAACAACGGGCTCGTCGTCTTCCTCGACCGCATCGACAAGGGCAAGAACCACGCGGGCTGGATGCGGCACCGCCTGCGCATCGCCTGCGACCGGCACAGGGAGCGGATGCGCATGCAAGAAGAGCGGGACAGGATACGGAGCGAGACGGGCATGGAGTTCACCACCAGCAACATGCTTTACTTCTACCACGAGTGGCAGAACACCCGCATCGACCTGCAGGCGTCCAGGGAGATGCACCAGAACTCAGAAGAGAGAATTAACCTCCTCCTCCGCAGGATCCAGGAAGAGACCAACCTCATCACCAACCTCTGCGACATGGTCGTGAGCATCACCGAGCACATGCACGAGGACGTGCGCAACCAAACTCTGAACGACCTCAACATTCGCATTTCCAGGATCAACACAATCAACCGCCAGATCGCTAACACCTCCTCCAACCTCCGCACCGTCTCCTCGTCCATTCCCCACGGCAGCACCATGGCTTCCGCCCTTGACCGCCTCCTCATTGTTGTCGGATCGGACGAGGACGACGGGATGGTCTTTCAGTAAAAAGAAAATCAAAGAACCGAAGACCGCGGCTGCCGTATACAGATCAAAAGGTGTTTGTACACCCGAGGGCTCTGCTCTGACAGCGTCAGGAGGTAGTCTTGCTGATACCTCTGATCAAACATCGCGTCGTTGCTATCCAGCATCCGCCACGCCACAAACGTCCAGTCCTGACCTCGCATCCACCGATGGCACATGCGGCAGAACACGCGGAATACGCTCCTCACACACTGGACGTGATGGACCGCCGCTTTTTCCCCCTTGTACACAACAGGGGAGACAATCTTAAGGCCCTCCGGCCCGTACGTCAGGCGCTCTTCGGAGAGGGGGCCAAAGGATTGCCCTTGCATCGCCAATTCATCCTCCCTCTGCAAGAGGTTCAAAAAATCATGGATCAGGCGGTTGTATCCCCACGGGCACTCCATCGCACTATCCAGCCTACTCTGCATATGCTGCATACTTTACCACCCCCCTCCCATGCACTCCCCAAATACACGGATGGAACGAAGCATTACACACAATCCATTTATTTACGATCCAGGCAATGGCAAAAACAAACAAAAACAGAAAGATGACCCCGGGGTCATCCAGAAACGGGAAGCACACGACCGCAGCCAGGCGCTTCCTCCTCGCCTTCATCCTTGCCATCTTCTCCCTGCAGATCTTCGCCATATTCATCTCTGTGCAGATCTCCCGCGCGCTGAGCAAGGTCCGCTTCCCCCGCCTCCTCCCCGAGGACATCGGCCTCCTCGTCGCCTCCAAGGCCTACACCCACTGACCTTACAGCGTCGCGGTCTCCCTAGGGAAGCGCACGAAGCCGTGCCGGATTTTGTACGCTAGATCCATCAGGTCCTTCATCTGGAACTCCATCTTCGTAAGAATCGCATCGCAACTCTCATCTTTATCACCGGCCTTCACACCAAACCGCACCACGGATGAATTCACCGAGCCACCAAGGCTGTCCACGTAGGCCTGGATCGCGTCAATATCCCGCAGCACGTCGCCCACAGAATCTCCCATTTCCCTGCCATGCCACCACCCATCCGCATCTTAAATGCGCTTCATCGCACGCGGCCCGACTGGAAATCGTGCAGCGCGCTCGCCACGGTGGAGAGGCACTGCTGCAGCGCAATGAGGCGGGGCTTTAGGTCGGATTCCAGATCATCCATGGGGTGTGAATCTTCTTCAACATCTGATGCATCCTCGATCTCTTCATCAGGAGCTGGAGCTAAACGGTGTTTTCTTTCATGACCCTTACGATATTTTTCAAATTCTTGATGGATCCGAATCAATCTCGATTCTAATTCCTTTTGTTTTTTCAAAAGCTCTGTTTTTGTTTCATTCAACGACGTTTGCATATTACGCTGATCCCCTCTTATATCTTTCAAAAGATTATCTTCACGAAGATTAAGCTTAGTTTCGATATCTCCATCAATTTTTGACTGGATACGTGAATCCACTTCCAGAAGTATCTTTTGTTGATATTCGTGGAATTGCTTTTTGATATTATCAGTAAATTTCGTTTTCATATCTGTTATATTTTGATTGGTTTTCGCGATTTGATCATTTAGATCAGATAACTCTGTATTGATTCTACTGTGGTCAGACTGCAATTGATCGACTCTACCGATATATATCGTTTCAAAGTCACTTAAGATTTTTTCATTTGCTTTCACTTTATCAGCTATTTCATTCACCATCGTTGTAAGTTCTTGCACTGCAACGTCCGATGCATTACCACCACCTGCCGCCAACACAGTCTGGACTTTTGTTTCCATATCAGATAATGCTGCATTAATTGTGTTATGTCCAGCCTGCAATCGATCTAAACCTTCTGTGAATTCAATCTTGTTTTTCTTCATTTCATCTGTCAATTGAGTCACCGTCTTTTCAAGCTCAACAATTGTTTCTTTCAATGCAGCAACGTCAGCACTACCGGACCCCCATGCCCCTATCTGTTCATCACTCCCGGATGTCGAATCCCCGTCCCCACCGGCGGCGGCAGGGGATGGGAGTACCGATGGAACGGTGGATTGATTCCTGTTCTTACCCTTTCTAGCCCCAATCAACATCCTTCCTGCACTGCCCACTGCACCCCTTAAATGCTCTCCCGCGCTAACGGATGAATCCGTGCTCGTACTGCCAGAAGATCTTGGATGCCTTTTCGAGGTCGGCCTGCAGAGCACGGAGGCGGGGGGCCAGGGCTTCGTTGTACTCCTCCGCTACAGCATGGCCCTTCTCGCTGCTATCGGAGCGTGGCGGGGAGACCGTAGAAGGGCGTGCCTGCAGCGCGGTGACCTTCCCTGCCAAGTCTATCACCTCTTCCTCTAACGTTTCCAGTTTCGTATTCTTATCTTGAACCATATCCAAAGCACTCTTTGCAATGTGTTGAACATTGTTGATCCGAGTGCCCAAGTTATCGACTTCTTTCGTGATTTTATCTTTAAAGGAATTCAACGCAGAATCATCCGTAACAACGGGTGCGGGAGGAGGGCGCTTAGAAATGGCATCCACCTTCAAATCTAGTTCACCCTGTCTCTCCTCCAATGCCTTGATGGCTTCATCCTGCCTTGCATCCACTTCCTTGACATCATCCAACGATGCTTCGAGCTCTTTCGTCTGCCGCAGTGCCCTTTCAACAAAATCGTGATGCGATTCGGCCAATTCAGACACAGCCACCACATCCTTTTGGAGGGAGTCCATACGGGCCTCCATACCGACTGTCTTCTTATGACACACCCTCTCAGCCTCCGTTCTCGCCTCTTGCAGCAATGCATCCAAATCGGGCTGGTTATTTGTAATAGCGGTATGTTGTTGTTTGACACTATCGATTTCCTGTTCAAGACCATCCACACGGATTTTCAAACTATCCGATTCATTCTTCATTGTCTCTATTGAAGTCTGTAATTTAGTATCTTGATCACTCTGGTATTTTGCAAGCCCATGTTGTCTTTCATCGAACATCTTGGCGCCATGCTTCAATGATTCAACTTCAGTTGTAAACTCACCAATCAGATCCAGGCATTCTGCAAGCGACGATTGCACATTAGACACATCTGCCGTAATATCACGTGTCCTCTGCTCAATATTCTCCACACGAATAACCAGCTCTTCCATCTTCCCCTTCTCCAAGTCATCCCAGGCACCCGTCACGTCCGAACGCTGGCCACTCTTGTTGGAGTCGCGGCTGATTGGGCTAGGGATGCGTTGTTCCTTGACCGCCTCAATTTCCTTTTGGAGTTGTTCGATGGACGTCGCTGTATCCCCTTTGAATACATCCATCGATTGTCGCGTTCTTTCCAAATAAACCTTTACATATTTCTCCAACTCTGCAAATTTATCAACAAACACCATCACGTCCTGTATTTTTTGCTGGTACCAATGTGTTCTATTCTCAGATTTCTCCACGATGTTCTTCAAATCTTCAAATTCCTGTCGAATACCAGACACATCAAACGACTGACCCTTGTCATGTGGTTCGTAACTATCTGGCATTGAATCCCACACATCATTCACACCCTTTTCAATCCTGACCAGTTCATTCTTGAAGAACTGCATTGATTCATCCATGGTGACCTTCCAGGAATTCACCTCCTGGTTCAGATCAGTTTGTTTACGTCTAAAGTCTCCCCACCTATCCATCTCCAAGTCCATATTTTTCATAGTTGTGGAGAGACCGATGGTATCCCTTTGCAAGGACACAAATTTCTCGTCCCATTCCAGCTCTGACTTCTGCGCATTGTATGTAATCTCACGTATTTTTTTGGTATGTTCACCGATCTTCTTCTGCAGTCTCTCCATCTCATCCTGTATATGTTTCGAAGCGTTGTTTCCATCGTACTGGATATCTTCTTCGATCTCCCCGGAATCATCACCCGCTCTTGGTGGGGTGGGCGCACGACCCCGCTGCCTCACCTCATCATGAAGCTCTTCAACATTTGCAACAACACCAAGAAGGTTTGATTTTAGCTCGTCAACCTTCAAGTCAACCCTTCGCACTGCATTATCAAGACGAGGGTTGTAAACCTTTTCAAAGGCATCCTCGATGATGTCATGGCAAAACGCCTGCAGCTCACCACTCTGCTCCTTCCCACGCAGGTCCATCTCCGTCATCAGGTCTTGTTTCACCCTCTCGAGATCCTTCCTGTGTGTACCTTGGATCGTCTTCAGCTCTCCATCAAAAGCGTCTACCCTTGCCTGCAACCCCCTCATATCACGTTGGATCGAGCTGGTATCCGTGGAACGTACACCCGGGGTTGCGCCGGTAGAACTACCCTTTCCTGCATTTTGAGATATGTTCCTCTTCAATTGGTCTGCTAATTCCTTGACCTGGAATGCAAGTTTCGTGTACTTATTATCAAGCTCAGTTCTCAACGCCGAATTGTTGTTGTCATTTTGTTGAATCGTTGATCTGTAGTCCTTCTTACACTCTCGACTCACATCCTGTATGTTCTTGTAAAGCTCAACATATTCAGCCTGCAAACCATCCAATTTGCTCCTATCAACCGCATGTCTAGCTTCAACATCTTGTACCTTCTCATCGATGTAGACTTCCAGCTTGTTTTGAAGACCAACGATCTCTGACAATATTCTGGCTGCATCCATGGATCCTCTTTCCACCTTCATATGTTGCGACTGAAGCTCCTTGACCTTATCCCCTAAGCCTTTAAGCTCTCGTTCAAGGCCTTCCATCGAAGAATTATGCTTCAAAATGACATTATCAAAACTTGTGATATTTTCACGAATCTTTCCCAGTTCAAGTTCCAAACTACTCCTGTGTTGATCCAACCCCTGTTTCATACCAGTCATTTCAGTCCTGACCTCGCGTTGAAAATTACTGACGAGTTGGCCACTCTCAAGCACACGGCGTTGAACATCGGTGACCCTGGACTCCATGCCATTCACAGACTCCCTGATTTCCTCATACGTGTTAGTGAAAACATCGATGTGATCTGCACATTGCTTGGTAGCCTGCCTCACAGTATCAACGTCTTGCAAGACCATCTGGTTCTTCGATTCAATCTCTTCAATCCGACGGGTAATATCGTCACGTATTTCTTTGTATCTATCCAACAAATCTTCTACGTTGTGTTCAGCGCCGAATATCGAGTTCAGCTTATCAAGTAAATTATCTCGCACATCCTTGATCTGATGCTCGAATCTATCCATGCGTAATTTGTAAGATTTATCCTCGCCGTCATACCGCATCTGATTCTGCTTGATTGCTTCCATAGCATCCTCAATGCCTTTCATTCTCTTCTCCGTCAACTCCATCTTCGACTTATTCTGCTGGATCGCCATAACCTGGGTCTCGATTCTCTTCTCAATCACATCCTCCAGCAACTTCAAAATCTTCTCCTCCAGGGCTGCATCATCGATGTTGATCTGTGACTTTGTATCCGTCTTCGACTCCGTGTAAGGTCGCAGCGAGGTGTACTTATCATCGATTGATTTATGTAAATCGTCCACATATTGCTTGATTTGTTTCGTAACTAGTTCGTGCATATCGTCCTTGTTCTGCGCCACATAATCATAGCTGACAAAATTCTTCAATTTGCCTGAAATGTCATCTAGTTGTTCCTTCAAAAGTTTATCCTTCCTCTTTTGTTTTTTTCTTTCCTCCTCGTACTTAGCCATGAACGCTTTCAGATCCGGAGGGTTGTCCTCTCTCAGACGTTCAGCTTCTCTGTCCTTTCTTTTTTTTTCACGCAATGCATCAACTTCCATTCTCCTTTCATCCTCATCAGGATCAATCTGCGGTGATGGAACGGGTACAGTCTTTTTTTTATATTTTTCTACTACCTCGTCATCCGACGAATCACCAAGCACCATCACTCCCACCTACGCACCCACGGAAGCCACCGCTTAAATCCGCACTGCAAGACACCCTCCCCCTCGTTACAATTTCGCTGCCTCCCTGCCCTCGAAGCGGATGAATCCATGCTTGATCTTCCACGCGACCTTCTTCAGCTCATTGACGCTCTCGCGGATGCTCCTGACCTCCTCCTGAAGATCGCCCGCTCCATCGAACTCCGCGGAGATAAGCGGCACACACACTTCCTTCGCCCTTCCACTCATTCCCTGGCAGCCACACCACCAGAACCGCTTATATCCACCCTGGAGAGATAGAGCTCCAGCAGTCGTACGGGGCGGGGGTCCCAGAACACGCTCACCGAGTCTCCATTCCCTTGAATGAGCCAGACCCTCCCCGGGGCGTGGAGCCAGCACCACTTCTCTTGCAAGATCCGGCGAAAGTCCACAGCCTCATGATAGAGAGGCAGTTCAGGGTACAGCTGCTGCAACACAGGAATCCAGTCCAAGGCAGTGCGACCCTCCTCCTCGTAGTCCGCCAGGGCCATGGGCGCACGCCTCCTCTGGTATGTCGGCTTGTGGAAGTACACGGCCTGGCTCACGGAGTGATACAGCCCGGAGAAGCGGTGCATGTACTGCAGGATCGCACCGCAGTGGACATCGTCGTGCATCGTCGCCCCGTGGTACGTGTCGGTCGCCGCCTCGAAGTGGAACCTTTGAAGGTTCAGGCCGTCCGATTCTGGGACGGAAGCGGGCACGGGTGTCTCCCGTGCGAGGAGCCAGAGGTACCGGAAGAGACAGAAGAAAGCATCCAAGGCCTGGACCTTCGCGAGATCGGAAAGCCTGTGACCCTCCTTCCCCTCATGCTGAAGGACCTCTCGATCGTGCACGACGTCTACCCCGATGACATCGCTCTCGTAGAAGCCATAGGCGGCGAAGAAGCCGAAGCGGGCGAGAAGCTTCCAGCACAGATCCCTTGCCCCAGGCAGGCACGACACCCGGGTCCAGTTGAGCTGCACGTTGTCCAGCGCGCCGCTCAGCTCCCGCCACCCCATCGAGTCCACCGGCTCCTCCGAGATCTCGAGCTCCTTGCAGCCCGGCACCACGTCCTGCATCCTCCTCTCGTCCACCTCGAGCACCAGGTGGGCCGTCCTCGCCAGCACGCACCCTTGCACATGCATTCGGCTCAGAATGACCTGCGCCGTGCTCTTTTCTGTTGGATCCGTCCTCGTCAGCCACTCCTCCATCATCTCCCCCACGTCCACCCCCTCTGGTATCTTCCCTCCCTCCGCCCTCGGGTCCAGTGCCCTCTCCACCTCCGCGTTCAACACCGCCCATCGCTCCATCCCACCTTTCTCTCACACTCACACACACACACCCTTCCCTTCCTTCCACCACCGCGCCACACCAAAAAAAACACTCGCAAAAAAAAATCATCACCCTCATACCCCGACCTGGGTCCCCAGGGAAAGGCCCCCCCCTCTGGCCAGATTTCTGAAAACCGTTAAACCGTTAAACCGTTAAAGTTAACGGTCTTTAAAACCTTTAAAGAAGGTTCGCCGGACAGTATACGTATAGTATGTATATAGTATATAGTATGTATGTATATGTATGTATATGTATGTATGTATATACATACTATGTATATGTATGTATCTATGTATGTAATATATGTATATATATATATATGTCCTGCGAACCTTATTTAAAATGATTAAAGGAAAAGAATCGCCGGACGGTGGTTGAAGGTTTTAACGGTTTAACGGTTTAACGGTTTAACGGTTTCCAGATTCTGGCCAAGGGGGGGGGGCCTTTCCCTGGGGACCCAGGTCGGGGTATGAGGGTGATGAGTTCCTGTTTTTTTTTCAAGATTTTTTTTTTGCATCGGCTAGCATGGCGAGCGCCACTATGCAGGCACCGATGTACACATGCCACCGCGGCAGAAGGAGGAGTGGAAGCCAAGCGATGACCTGCTGGATGTATGGTACAAGAATTGGATGCCAGAGCCCATTGTGTGCTGGAGCTGTGGGCACTTCCTTGGGGATAAGTGCCATTACAAGAACGGGAGGAACGTCCCATGCCGCCACGGGAATGAGAGTGGGATGAACCGAAGAAACCCGTTCCAGTGCAATGGTTTCGCCTCCCAGGAAGAGCCGGCCCCTGTCCGGCGGAACCATGCCCCCCTCCCGAACTACTTTGCCCTCGTAGATGGACACGTGATGTACGTGGAGGTCAACGGGGATGAGAAGGCGTTTGTACCGCTGAACGAGACACACGTGGCGTAGGTAGTGTGAAAGACCATTCCGCTCTCTCCTGCAAATAAAAGGATGCATCCATCATGAAGGGAACGACGCAGTGGGGTACGACACTGCCGCATGAGCCAGAGGCCCAAGAGAAGGTGTGTGGAGGACGCCATGAACCGCGTCCGGGAGGTTCTCGAGTGGGAGCAGCTGGATGAGCGCAGCGCCCAGTTCCGCTCCGCCGCGCAGGCGCTGGAGGCGGAGTTCGAGCGGGAAAGGCTCATGCGGAGGACTTGCCCGGAGATTCTGCAAGAGGATGCCAGGGAGGATGGCAACGACGACGATGAGGATGAGGGAGAGGAAGACAGTGGCGCCAGCGAGGTGAGCTTCGATTCGGACTGGTACCCTGGGAAGAAGGGGGGTGGTTTCTTCCGGTATGACGAGGATGGTGAGAGCGAAGCAGAGGACGAGAGTGAATCAGGAGAAGCCGATGATATTATCACCATTTCGGATGAGCTTGCAGACGACATCAAAACGGAAGACATCAGCGACGTCGATACGGATATCCTTAGCGATACCGATACGGAGAACCTCAGCGACACCGAGACGGTCGTTAACTGCAACATTACAGAAATCACACACCCTTTCTCTCATGAAGGCTCCATTGCATCCTCGAACGGTCCCGTGGAGAGGGTGGCACTCGAGGCCGATGGGGACAGCTTTTTGTCCTCGCAGGAATTAACAGGAAACGCCACCGCCTGCGAGGATGGCGGCCCTCTGGAAGTGACGAGCAGGTCGTGCTTGGAAGCACCCGAGCCGTGAGACAGCAGGGCGCAGCCCCCGGCGCTGAAGACAGGTGGGTCTCTCTGGAACTCTTCCGCGTCAGGGAGGACGAGCCTCAACGCCTGGTAGCACACCATCAGCGCCACCGAGCCCATGACGGCAAGCACCATCGGGGCGACGTAGGCCAGGACAGGGATCATTCTTCCTTCTGTTTTTTTTTTTATTAAAATTGAGAGTGTGTTTCTTATACTTCCGCGAGTTTCAGACGTGCCTTGCCATGCCTTTCCCTCCCGTCACAGGCTTTCCCGTGGGAATATCCTGGTCCTTCACGACGTACTCCACTATTTGTCCATACTGCCGTGGGTGCAGCTTCACGTACGCGTGCGCCGCGGTGAAATCGGTGTAGATGACGATGTTGTTGAGTGAGATGAGGAGGTAGACGATATATTCGAGTATAATCACGTTGCTCATGCAGGGGTCTGTCATGTTGTTGTAGGCGATGTAGACGATCCCAAAGGCGGCGAAGAAGACAATGCAGAGGCAGGTCAACGCCGCGGTGGCGTAGGCGGTGAATTTCGATATGCTGCCATACTCAAAGACCGACAGGCTGTAGTTGAGCTGCGCCCAGATGTAGGTCAATGCCAGGACCCCAGCCCCAAGGAGGTGTATGTCCCCGTGGTCGGAGATGTTGTCGTAGAGCACGACGGCGATGGTGCTTGCGTAGCCGAGGAGGGCCAGCCACGTGACCACCCCGCGGTTCAGGAGGGGGTGATTGCGGCTGCTGATGATGCCGAGCACTACCCAGGACAAAATGCCGCTGATGACCATGAGGCTCGCCGTGCCCTTGTCCACCGCGAGCTTGTCGCTGATGTAGAAGAGCGACTGGCAGTACGGGGCATCGAAGTTCCGGATCCCACCTTTGCTGAACATGAGGTAGAAGAAGACGCTGTACTGCATGACGAAAGCCGCCGCCGCCAGCTGCGTCAAGACGACCAGCTCCCCGAAGGCAACCTCTGTCCAGAGCCTCCGGAGGTTCTGCTTGGTGGCCACCGCCTCGTACTTCATCTTCATGCATCCCCTGCAATACCTGTTTTATATCCTTCACTTGTACCGACAACACACGAGGGCCATGCCGACGAAGCCGACGAGGCAGGCAAACCCTGCCGCCCCAAGCCCGGCCGCCTCCCGGCTGTAGCCCACCACATGGGGACGGTAGGTGTCGTTGAAGGGGTTCTGGATCAGCACGCGGCGGGTGTTTAGCACGATGTCGAGGTAATCGGCGTAGACCATGCAGGTGAAGCGCTGCTGGATGGGGTCCTGCACCGCGATCCTTCCCGGTGTGCATATCCACGTGCAGCCGGAGGTCCAGATGGCGTACTGCGGGGGGATGGTGTTGGTGCAGGGCTCGCAGAGGAGCTGTGGGCTGAGGTACTGCCCCGGGGGGCACGAGGAGGGCGGCGTCTGGAGTGGTGCCGGGGTGGGAATGATGTCGCTGACGCGGGTAACGCAGGCCAGCCCACCCGTGGAGTTCCTCCCGAGCACCGTCCCTACCGCGCACCTCCAGGAGCAGGAGTAGGGCTGGTAGGGTTCACCGGGGGTAAGGTATAGGACGCTATGGTTCTGCTCGAGGCCGTTGCGGCACGGGGAGCATCCTACATATGAATTGCTGGCCTTGCAGTCATCAAAGTAGGTACCCACCCCGCACACTCTCCTTGGGTCGCAGAAGCCGCAGTAACTTGCGTTGTGCCTGACATAGTCTGGTATGCATTCCACGATGCACTCCGCCAGGAACCTGGCGTGCTGGGGGAGTGGATTCAGGCACCGGTCGCAGACGCGGTCCACATGGTCGGAGCAAAGGGCGGCAGTGAAGTATCCAGGGTCACAGGATGGCGAGCAGGGCCTGCAAGAAGCGTCTGAGGTAGGGGTGCAGGCCTGGATGTAGTTGGAAGAGAGGTTGCATGAGAGAGAGGCTTCGGGGGTGCAGGCTGTGCAATTGCTGAGCGCTGAAGTTGACCAATACGAGGAGGAGCACTGGCTCGGGCAGGAGTTCGGGTCTTCGAATAGGCCTACCGCGGTAAACTCCCTGTGGGGGTCTGCCAGGGAGGTGCAGGGGAGGCAGGTGGCTTCCAGGTGGCATCCGGACTGGTACTCACCTGCCAGACAGGCCTCCCCAGGGCAGTAGATGCAGTTCTGTGGCTTCGAGGCAGTGGGGCTCTTGACGTAATTTACATCGCAAACGTAGGAGCAGCCCGCAGTGTAGGCACCGTTTGATAAAGTCGTTTCCATGCAGGGATTGCAGACGGTTAGGTTTAAGCGCCTCTCTGAAAATGTCCTATCGTCTGCCCTTGTCCCCGCCTCCCAGAACGGCAACGTGAAGGCCACCTCGGAAGTTGCCGGGTAGTACCCCGCGTCGCACACGGCTGGGCAATCCTCATCCATCCCGGTGGCATACCCCGTGTACCTCCCGTGCTGCAGCCCCACGCAGGCGACGGCTAGCGCGTTCTGGACTTGCGTGCACGATAGTGTACGATGTGGGGTGGAGTTGCGCAGCTCCCATCCCGCGAAGGGCAGGGTCCGGCACGGCAGGCAGTTGGGCTCCCGGCGGTAGGAGCCCTGCACGCACTGCGTGATGCAGTTATCCGAGTCGAAGGGTATACCGGGAGTGATGAACTCTTCAAACGTTTCGTAAGCTGCGATCGTAGACCTTTTGGTTGTGCACTCCTGGCAGGTGGCTCCGACGACCGCCTGGCACTGGGCTCGGTGCTGGCCCACGGGGCAGGACGACGTGGGGCATGCCAGGCACGCGCTGGAGTTGGCCGCGTAGTACCCTTCGAAGCATTCGTACTCGCACACGTTGGGGAGCCATCTGGCAAAGCCGGGGAGGGCCTCCGCGCAGGTCACGCATATCGGGGTCCCGTCCGGGTTGCAGCCTTGGAAGGCCGAGCCGGGAAGGCAGGTGGTGTTGCAGCGCACGCAGCGGTCGTTTGTGAAGAAGTAATCACTGAAGAGGCAGCGGTAGGAGCACGCCATCGGGTGGAGAGTGAGGTGCAGGCTGCCCGTCAGCAGGCCGGGCGGGCCTTCCGTAAAGAGCGGGTACTGCGCAGCCCCCCGCCAGCTCAGGTACACCGGGAGCGTGCAGATGTGCCGGAGCGACACGCTGCTGGAGAGGTCCTTGGTGCAGATCGGGACCTTCTCGTCATTGACCTCCATCCACACGGAGAGGCTGCCGGCTATAGCCGCATGGGTGAAGACGAGGTGGAACTGCCGGACCCCGAAGGGAAGGGTGGCGGGGAGTGTGCCTTCGCCGTAGATTTCCTGGAGGTTGGCCTCGTTTGGGAAGTTGAGCTGTGCACCGGAGCACAGTTCGACGCCGTCTGCTGTGTTGCAGGTGGGGGCGCCGTATAGGAAGTTGGGGACCACGCTGAACTCGTCGAGGTAGAGATCCGTCCAGACGATGGGGGTGAAACCCACCGATAGCACCGCGGTGGAAGAGTAGTGACTGAAGCCGGTGAGGATGGCGATGTCCCATATTGCCTGCGATTGAAGAGTGCTTGTCAATGTGTTTCCAAGTGTGATCTGTGCTGCTGCGTTATGTGTCGTCTTGTAGTGGAAGGACACAACCCATCCATTGATCTTTCCATCCGCGGAGGACAAGTCTATTGGTCCTATTCTCAAAGTCTTCGTGTTTGCAAACAGCCTTAAGAAGAGGACAGTGTCGCCCAGTTGGCTGTTGTTCTGCGGTATGGCGTACGCCACCGCGTTCGTCTCCCATTGCGGGGTGCCCGGGTCAACGAAGCGATTCTCCAAGGGGAGGAGCTTGAGGTTGTCCTGCCAGGTCAAGTTGCCGTCCCAGTAGCAGCGTGTGGGAAAGAGGAACACCTGGGGATCTGCAAGCGAGTTGTAAGAGGCACTCCCAATCCCGTTGATCTGCCCCACGACCCGATTCCCTCTGACGCACAGGGTGTTTTCGTAGGCAACCGCCCGCTTGAGAATCATGAGGTTCTCGAAGCTGCCGATCCGGGAGTTGGAATCTCTATCGATCCAGTTGGCCTCCATGGAGTACGCCCCCGCGCCCACGATGAGCCCATCGATGTTGGCGTGCGTGTTGATGCACTCCTCGCAGTACGCCTTCCGCGGTGGCGAGCAGGGGATGGGGAACGTCACTCCCCCGCAGGTCGGCGCCTCCCCGCAGGTCTCCGTGCAGACTTGTTCGAGAGATATGCCGGTGTAACCCTGCTGGCAGGTGACCTGGCAGGACAGCCTCTCGGTGGCTTTGTAGATGACGGCATTGGGAGAGACGACAGGGAAGCATGTCCGGCAGTGCTGCTGGGGGGTGCATGCTGCCTGGGTCCCTGCGGATGTGTCGCTACACTGGCACGATTCCACGTACTCCCCGGCAAGGCAGGTGGAGGAGAGCGAGTAGCAGTCAAAGCAGCTCCCGTACCTTGGAGGCGGGTTGATCTCCCCACGGCTGAACCCCTGGCAGTCGTACCTCCCAAAGAGGGCGTATTGCGGGTCATTGGAGAGCGCCGTGCGGAATGCAGAGTTGCACACCTCGAAGGGGAGGGCTGCGCACGAGAGATAGCTGAAGCCCGGCACATCCGACTGGTTCACAAAGAGCAAGCCCTGACCCGCGTCCTGCTTCGTGGTGCTATCGAAGCCCAAGGCAACGCAATATTTGCACTCGTCCAAGACAGTGTGGGTGGGGCTCTGCTTCAAGACAGCGCAAACGGGTGAACCGCAGTCCACACAGGTGCTGCTAGGTTCCCGGTCCGGGCAAACCTTGTCCCCGCTGTACTTGGTAGACGGGGTGATGGAGTTCCAGTACTCGCAGAAGCCACCGCAGGACTGCACACAGTGGACGTTGTCGATGGAGTGGTTCGTCGCTCCGTCGCAGTAGTGGCAGGAAGTCTCCCCGTAGCCGGAATACTGGTCGAAGGGGCAGGGCTTACAGTAGTCAATCTGTGGGGTACCGTCCTGGTACGTGCCTGGCTCACACGGGACACAGACGTACACAATGTTGGTGCCTTGATTCGGGAGGAGCTGAAGCTTTGTCCCGCGCGGACAGTCCTCACACGCCGTCTGCTGCTGGTTGGGCTTTTGCCCCAGAGGGCAGAACTTGCATCCGATGTCGTAATCTGTGGAGTACGTGTGAACGGGACAGCGGACGCACATGTAATATGCGGTCAATGTATCACCCTGTTCCGTCAGGCAATCCGTCTCTTCATCCGTCAATGCTGCCTTGCTCTGGTACTTCACGTGGAACCCGGCACGGCAGGCACATTGTGCAAATGCGTGCCCACCAGAGACGATCGTGGTCATCAGGATGCGGTTCACGGTGCAGTAGCGGTGGAAGGGGGACATGCAATACTCGTGCTCCACCCAGGTCATAATCGAGTCCACGCCATCTGATTGATATTGCTGTGAGAGCATTGAAGCGGTCTTGGGTGCACATACAGTATCGAAGATGTAGTATGCGGTGGAGTAGACATAACCTCCTTCATCGGCTATTCTGCAAGAACTACCTTGGACACAGTTTTGTGAAGTTCCACAATTGAGGACATACTGGTTGTAAACCCCCAAGGAGAGGCATGTCTCTGGGCATGGCATGCAGGTGCCCGGGCTGCTCGCGTAGGTGGTGATTGCCCCAATCTTGCCGCAGTTGATCCTCACCTCGTTGGGGTCGGGACACGATTCGCAGGGGAGGCAGTTGATGTCCTTCAAAGTCCTCCCGCATGTGAAGTCTGGATCGCGGTACTGCCCCTCTACGCAGTACTTGCCCGTTGCGGAGCTGCAGCCGATGCACTGCCCTGGGTCAAGACCCCCACACCCGCTGAGCCACTCCGCAGACCCGCACCGCTGCGCCGCCGCGTCCGAGCACCACGTGCACGTGCCCGGATTGTTTGGAGCACCACAGCCGGCGGCATAATTTGATGATTGCCTCTCGATGTCGTACGAGTTACAAGTGGTGCAGGGCTGGCAGGTCCCCGCGCTAGTTCCCGAGCAGCCCGATCGGTACTGCACCGGGTACGGAAACTCTGTGGGACACGTCTCGCAATTGTTGCAAGTGCCGGGGGTGTAGCCCTGGATGTCGCGATTTGCGCCAGCCGCGACATAATACGATTGGCCGCACCCGGTTCTGTACTGGTTGTTGGTACATTGGTGAACATAATCGCCATCACTGTTACACAATCCCGCATAAGGAGCATTGTTGCAATAGTCTGGAGAGAAGTATGTGAATGCACTGTTGCCACAACTGAAACATCCATCAAAACTCTCCGGCTGAGGGTTGAAGAACCCCGCTTTGCAAGCGCAGTAGGCCTCCGATCCTTTACTTTCTACAAAGTCCGCATTGAAGTAGCACGAGTCGGCCACAAAGTTGAAATCAACGGCCACAGATACAACCGGTAGCAACACAAGCAGTTGTAACCCATGAAAACCTACCCGCATCCGCACCCACCCCTTTCAACCCATTAATTTCAATATTCTTTAATAACAAACCTAGAAATGAACCAACCGAACACACAGACCACCACGAAGCTCGAATCCCCCTCAAACGGGAAGAGGAAGGACCTCCGGAATCCGACATAGTGGGTCAGGGCCACGACGGTAGCATCAAAGAGGAGCAGCAGGGTCTCGCACGCCAGCTCGTCGCTCCGTACCTCCTTCCCCTCCGCCCACCTCCCGACCTGCAGTTCCAGGAGTTTATAGAAGCTTCTTAGGGTGAGCATGACGAGGAGGATCCCGACATATGGGTTCGCGAGGGTCTTGTACACGCTCTGGGTGAGTAAGAGAAGTATCCCCGTGTTCAGATTGAAGGTGAGGAAGTGGGCGACGCGGTGCTTTGTGTCTGTAGTAAGGACCTTGTAGCTAAGCACAGCGAAGTGTACGGCGATGTAGACGATCATGACGACGGCATATGCAATCTCCTCGTTGAGGATGAGCTCGCTGCCAGCGAGAGTGTACCCCACGGAGAGCCCGACGGTGGCAGCAACCCCGCCGATTTCCACGGCGCGGGCGGTCCAGCGGAGGTACGACTCCGGGTGTATGGGGATGGCTGTCTTCTGTTGGTCGTGGAATAACAGGTGGGAGAGGTTCTGAGCGGTGCAGCTGACGAGGTAGATGCTGGTGAGGCTGATAACGACGTATAGCCAGGTCGGGGTGACCATTCTGCGATGGAAGGCGCGCTCCCCATCCCAGAGCACATCCAGCCTCTCCCCGACGGCGTCGCAGACGGACACGTCGTAGACCCCCGCTGGGTCGACGATAATCCTTCCCGTCCCTGCTGAGCTGCATCCTACCTCCGCGATCGGGTAGATATCGGATGATACGCCGGACACATTCCCTGAGATGAAGGTAGAGCCGATCGGGAAGAAGCGGCTCCCCCCGTCAGTGGTGCAGAGGGATGACGGGCCCGGACGGCACGGGATTGCCTCCCACCCATTCGTCCGGATCCCGTCGGCTCGGATGAACAGGATTCCCCTCTCGTTGATCCGGACGCCGCGGCTGGAGCGGAGGAGCTGGTGCGTGTCCCCGCCTGTCCACCGAATCAATCTCTGCCCCTCCGCCGTCACCGCCGTCGGCATGCTCTGGTCGGAGAGGCTCAGGAAGTACGCGGCTGTTACCTGGAATGTTCCCAGAAGGGAGAGCATGGGAAGCATGATGGGACGGTATCCCATATCCCGTCTCACCGTCCTCCGAATCAAAATAGCCAGGCTGTACCCTTGCTAAATACGTCGCGGAAAGGTACCGCAATGCGTACCTCCAGTGGACCATCCTACTTGGGTCCGGCCGGCAGCCCCGCCCGTCTTATACATCCCAAGGCTCAAAAAAAAAATAAAACCAGGCCTATGAAAAGATGAGACTCTGTGCCTTGGGCATCATTTGATCTTCGTGGACCATGATCTGCCACATGATGCGCTTGGTGTTGTTGAGCGTGGGGTTGATCGTCACCGTGCGGAGCTTCTCGCATATCTGCGAGATGCACTTTTGCAGGGCCATGAAGGAGGCCTGATCCTGGTTTTTCGAGTAAGCCTCGTGCGCGGCCTGGTACCTAGTCTGAACATCCTTGAAGACTTCATGCAACTTGCAGCAGGTAATGAGTAAGAGATGCACCTGGTCCAAGATCTCGTTGATCTGCGCCGGGCCGTCATCGTCCCCTACGCGCGTAAGCGACTCGAAGAAGTTCATGGCGATAGGCGCGCAGTTTTGGATGAGGTTGTCCACGCTCTCCATGCAGTTAACATTCACCTCCAGTGAGTTGTGAAAGTTACTGCTATCCACCTGCGTGTACCGCACTGGGAAGTTGGACTCTACGCGCAGTACATTGTGAAGAATCTGAAAGAACTGAAGTGTGTATTCCTCCTTGTTCTTCCTGGAAGTTACCACAGACGCCTGCATGCATTTCCTGACCGTCTGGTCGAGCTCTTCGATGGTATCTTCAAGCTGTTCCAACATTTTCAGGTCATTAGGGGGTATGCCAGTAGTGTTTGGGATCTTAAGCCACTTGCCCAGCATTCTTGTCGTCCCCCGCAACCCTACAGTGTTAAATACACGTAATCGCGCGATGGTGAGTGCAAGTGAGATCTGATGATTATCGGTGTTTTTTCTATTTCTTCATTATTTTCTTATCGTTTTTTTTGGGTGCAGTGGAGACGGGCGTCCCTTGGCACAGTCCAATGCAAAAAAAATCGAATGACGATCAACTCGGAGTGGATCAAGCTGTGGAAGGAGGTGGCAAGGGACGCCTTCAGCAAGGGGCTGCCCTTCTCACCCACCGTGGCCTTCATCGACGGGCAGATCAAGCTGATGAAGCCATCCAGCATCAACACGTGGGAGGGCTTCCTCTCCTGCCAGTTTGTGAGCTGCGTGAGGAGGCACTTCCAGTCCGGTTGCAAGACCGTCGTCCTGGCCTTCGACAACTACGAGCACGTCCCTACCTGCAAGGGCATGACGCAGCACAAGCGCAACCGCAAGGTTTCGAGCTTCAGCTTCGCCAGCGGGGACTGCCTCCCCACCATCATCCCGCAGGACTGGGAGGGAGCGATCCGGAATCGGCTCTTTAAGTCCCGGGTCATTGACTACATCAAGACGAAGCTCCCGGGGTACTTGACCCTGCAGGCAGACCAGAGGCTCATCATAGACCACAATGAAGCCCCTATCGAGTACTTCCCCAACGGCACCTGCCGCCCCTTCCAGCTCACCCATGCGGACCTGAAGGGAGAGAGCGATGTCAAGTTCACCTCCTACACCCACCTTGGTGACATGGTTATCGACGCCATCGACGGCGACTACGTGCCCATGGCCCTCGTGCACATCGAGCGATTGTGCCGGGACGGGCTGTCCAACGCCTCTCGCGTGCCCCAGATCGCGGTGTACCGCATTCGGGTAAATGCGAGGGGAGACGCTCCCGAGAAGTCAGCCTCGGGTAGGATGGAGCACGAGTACGTCCACATCAACCGGCTGGCGCAGGTGCTCTGCCGCGATGTCGGGCCGCTGACGGGGGGAAGGACGAACGCGTGCTCCGTGCTGGCGCTCTTCACCATCCTCACCGGCTGCGACTACACGCAGGGCCTGCCCACCGTGGGACCCGTCCGGGTGTGGGCCAACCGCCGCGCCATTGTCCCGCTCCTTGCACTGATCCAGGGCACCGAGGATAGCCACGACGACGATGTCTCCGTCATCTCCCTGGCCTCCGCCGTGCTGTACGCGCTGGTGTACGAGAAGCGCGTCAGCCTGAGGGTCAACCAGTCCGCCACCCGGGAGGGGGTGGCGAGGGAGCTGCGCCGCGAGGAGGAGGAGCGCATCATCCGCGGGGTCAGGAGCTGCGGGCAGATGAGCGCCGGGACTGTGGCGAAGCTCCCGGATGTCAACTACCTCAGGAGCCACGCGAGCAACGCCCTCTGGACACTCCACTACTGGAACGCCCAGGACCACCACCCGGACCCGTACTCCAAGACCTTTGGGTACAAGCGGATCAAATCCGGCGCGGCGGGATGGGGCGTCAACCGTCCTAGACTGGAGAGGTGAGGTAGGTACATCAAGGGATGCCATGCTGCCTTGATTCTCCATTAAAGAACCCTTCCGTAACCCACTCGTCCTAGCTTCGTTGATGCGCAGTATTAAAGAGGACGTTGCGGGGCGCGAGAAACGGGGCACGCATGGTGGTGGTGAAGAAGCCCACCTATCCCGGGACACCCGCTTTCGACGCACCCTACTCACCCTACAACACCACAAAGAAGGCCGATGAATATAACGAGACCGCGATCGTCCACGTGTTTGCGATAAACCACAGGTGGAAGATCGTGAACGGGGTCATCGCCACGCTCCTATTCTTTGCCACCGGCGCCCTCGCCATCACCTCTCTTATTTTGGACTTTAAGACCCGCGAGTTCCCGACCAGCATCGTCACGCACACTCTGCGCCCCTGGAACGAGTACGGGGGGTTGGAGGATGCACTCACAGCCATCACCACTGGCTCCACCTCCTCGTCTCGAGTGCAGGCCCTGTGGCACTGGGCCAAGTGCGACCAGTATATCACCGATAAGCACGTCCCGCACCAGCATGACCCTTACACCCTGGCGGGCGTCTCGGTCAACAACTCCGTGTGGGTCCCGGGTGGTTGCAACTGCATTGCGCAGGTGGCCCACGCCCTGGGCAACACCTGGGTGTCTACGCAGACCACATCGCCGACCCTATCTGAGGTGAAGGACATGATCCACTTCTGCGCCTACGAGGGCGACATGCCGTACCAATACGACGTCATGAAGACGACATACCGTCCCCTCTACTATTTCTACTTCTTCATGTTTGTCACCACTACAGCCATCGTCATGGCCAACTTCCTGCACAGCAGCAATTCCGAGACAATCAAGACGATGATCAAGGATAACGTCGACTCTAAGACAGCCCTGCGTGAATCCAAATACTTGCTCGGCAAGCTCATTGCCTACTTCGTCACCACCTTCATCGTGGTGGTCATCTTCACTATCCTCTTCATGACCATCAAGAACTCCTGCGACCAGGACATCTGCAACTTCGATCTAGCGACCACGCTGTCCCTGATGCTGGTGTTCGTGGCCATCCTGTTTGTCATCTTCGCCCCGTACATATTCCAGAGCACCAAAACCCACATCGTCGACTCACTGTATATGATGGTGAGCAACGAGCACGACAGCTACACCGCCGTGGCGTACAGGGATGCCAAGGACGCCACGATCTACAAGGTGTCGGACTCTCTGAACTCGCAGGCGCAGCTCGAGCACCTCTGGTTGGACGTGATGCTGGTCCCGGCGATGGTCGCGCTCTCGATCGGGACGGTGCTGACGCGCCAGTGGACCGACAACGGCATCCTGTACTACTACGCCGTGCTCGTCGGGTTCTTCACCGTCGTGAGCTTGTCCAACGATTGGATGACATCGTTCTGGACGCGGTCCCTGAGGCTGAAGGAGGACTTGAACATCAAGGGCTCTGCTGTGTATGACCACTACCAGGGGTACAAGGACATGGTGACCTACGTGCAGCTCTTCATCCTCATCGCGCTCATCTTCACGGCGGTGCCCGCGGAGAGCATCACGGCCTACAGCTACATCCTCTTCTATAACTGGCTGTACTTTGTGTTTGGGTTGTTTGCCGTGTACATGCTTCCGGACTTCATCAACGACAGGGCAGCGCTCAACATCCACACGGTGACGGCGATGAAGCAGACTGCCGTGCTCCTGCTCGTCTTCACTCTTGTTATCACCCTGAGTGTGACAGAGTGGTTCAGGAAGGACATCTTTGCGTACCAGGGGTTAATGTAAGGTTCTAGGGGTTGTTGAATGAACACAAGAAAGTGATGCAATCCCGGAACTTCCGAGTGTACCATTTAAGCTCCCGTCTCTCCCTCCCGCGCAGAAGTGCCCCGACCGCCATGGCCCTGCTGGCACCGCAACCGGAGTACTTCTATCGGCAGTTCCCCAATTCCACCCTTGATTCCAACCTCGATCTCATGCGCTCCATCTCGTCCAACCCGGAGGTCCTTGACCTCATCGACGACCACCTGCAGGGGCAGCTGTGGGAGGACGTCAAGGAGTTCATCTCCGCGAATCCCGACATCCTGGATAGGTTGGACGGACAGACGCTGGCGGGGTTGAAGGATTGGTGGCACAAGGCAAAGGAGAAGGCAAGACATGTTTACCATTATATGACGGGAAAAAACAAGGATAAAAAAAAGACGGAAGCAGATGAAGCATCGGACGAGGAACAAGGGGATGACCAGCCAGCCGCAGCCACTGCAAGCACCCGCTTTGCCACCACCATCCGTGGCTGCAGGACCGTCTCCCCCGCGGACCTCACCCACCTGAAGCTCAGAATCATGCAGGACCCGGACGTCCTCGATGACATGAACGCCCACCTCCGTGACGGCCTGTGGCAGGCGATGAAGGGCGTCATCGCCGCCGATCCCGCGTTGATCCACCACCTGCCGTGTATGGTCGGGGGGATGTGGGACAAGTTGAAGGATGCGGCAAATCATGTATACAATGGCGCAAAAAACATGTTATACGATCATAAACATAAGGACCACCTCAAGTCCCACGAAGAGATTGAAAAGGATATAGCAGAGCACGAGAAACAACGTGCAGAAAACGAAAAAACAAACGAGCTGCGGAAAAAGCTGGAAGAAGCCAGGAAGAACGCAGCGGAATCGAAAAAATACACCCGGAGCCCATTCCAGCCTGACACCATCGGCATCCGCGTCCCGGTCTACGGCGGGGATGGGAGGCTGAGCGCCTCGATGCTGGAAAGGTACGCTCCCCACTAGAAATGTAGACTTTTTACACGGTGCAGTAAATTAGTTTTGAACAATCTTATCATACAACCGCGTCATGGACCGGACAAACTCCATCCGGTCGCGGGTGAGGGTGGGGCACTCGCGGAAGAGGTGCTGAACGACGTGCTCGGCGGTCTCGGCTTCAGATAAAAAAAAGGCAGTATAGCTAGGCCGGGAGTCGGCAGCTGCGGGGCCGAGGATGCCGTTGATGATGTCGGTGAGGTCGATGAGGTCGGAGGCGTCGGCCTTGCGCTCCAGCCTGACGCGCTTGGAGTAGGACGGCTTCCCGACCCCACAGGGCGCGCCCGACTTGGAGCGCATCACCTGTAGCTCATCGTCACCCGAGCAGATTCTAAATACACCCCTCCCAACGACTCACGGTAAACCGCGTTGCAGTGCGCTTCTTCTCCACGAGGAGCTGCGTGGGGATGCGGAGCTTCAGCCTCCCGTCGGGGAGGCGCTCGACGTTGCGGAAGCCCTTCGTTAGGCGGACGTGCCGGAACATGGCCTTCTGGATCCTGAGGCTCAGGGTGTAGTAGCCCTCCCCCATCCGGATCGCCGGGAACTGGTCCTGCAGCCCCCCGCCCGACGGCTGGAACCAGCTGCAGTAGCACTCCCTCCTCACCAGGTGCCGGATCATGTCACGGCAGCACGGGCTCCGCTCATGCTCCCAGGCCTTGCCCGCCACCACCAGCTGGTTGCGGGTCAGGTCGACCTGCTTCATTCCCTCCCCTCCCCCTTCGTCCCCTCACCCAGCGACCTCCGTGGATTGAGCCTAAAAGGACTTGCTGCACGGTGTCGATGCACCCTGCCGCATATTTAAAGATCATTGCACACGCGTCGGAAAGGGCACGGTTGTACGATGTACCTGTACAACGACGGTCAGAAGATCGACCTGATCTCATACACTGAGCTGGCGAGGAGAGCTCCGACTATCAAAGAAAACTTGAATATGGCTATTGCTGAAAAAAGTCAAAAGAGTAAAAAATTCAAGAAAGACATATCAGACAAGAAAAAGGAGATATTGAAAGCGATGAGTAAAGGTGAATCAACAGATGAGAAGGAAGAAGAGCTGAAAATACTAATGGATAATCAAAGGAAAGAGGTAAACCTGGTTTACATGGATGTCGTAATTTCCGATAGCGAAAGAAGAATAACGATTAATCTTCTACCAAGTGGATTTTTAAATCACAGTCCTCTATGGGACGACAATTCAGAAATTTCAATCATCGCAGTTCTGAAGATACAACCATCTATCTTCCTTGGAAAGGTCCGCACACCCTTCGACCCCAACCAGACACTGATCCAACTCAACAAGAGGCTGGTCAACCTCGAGATCACAGACAAGAACATCGAACAAACAATCAAAACCATCGACAACTTAAGTGGATCATCGAATCCTGATGTGACAATGGCACCAGCAGGAAGCAGTCAGTTCAGCATGATGGGTTCCGCATTTTCCGCCCCGCTCGACTTGGACTCAATCAACGTCCAGGCCTACCTTGGAGCCAAGTTAGAGACCAAGACACCCGAAAAGAGGGAAGAGATCAAAACATTGCTTGAAATGACAGAGAAATACAACGAAATCAAGGAGCGTATGATCAAAAAAACGATTGCCATGCTAGAGAATGCATATGGAACTACTATAACCCCAACCACGAAGAAAACAATAGCTTTGATCCAGGGCCTACTTCTATTCAATAAGACCATCCGTGTCCGTGGCAATACAAACACATCCCTTGCCAAGGCACTGAAGGCAGCCGCGAAGAATCCGACCGGGGAGAAGAAGGAGAAGAAACAAGCTACGACAGCAAACACCCCGTCGCACAAGCTCGCCAAAGAGCGCGGTGTAATACCCCCGGGCAGTAACAAAACAAAGAAGGGGAAAGGGAAAGGGAAAGGGAATGCAAACGGTAAGGGAAAAGGGAAAGGGAATGGAAAAGGGAAAGGGAAAGGGAATCAGAGAGGTCAGGCAGCCAAGAAATAATGGGAAGAATGGCACGCCCACTCTTTTGGTACGTATTTAAAGCCATGGAGAGCGGTATCGGAAGAGCTGGGAGTGACAAGCCATGCCCACCTACTCCAAGCAAAATGGCAAGATCTACAAAGGTAGCTGGAACAAGGAGAACATGCACCACCAGACCTTCAAGAAGGCCCTGGCGGACAACCAAATCGACCATCACAAGATCATCTTCAAGGCAGACGGGTCGGTGATGGCCCAGGAGCTCGACGCATTGCCTATCTGGAGGAGTGACCGGGTCGATGTCCTGGCAAACATTCACGACGGTGACTACCTGTACCTCCACATGGTGGACATCAACAACATGAACGCCGACAAGAAGTACGTCCACTTCTACATCCTGAAGAGCAACGCGGAGGTGGAGCTCGGCAAGGCCGGCATCACCGAGGAGCAGAAGGCCATATGGACCAAGCGTAAAGCATACGACGAGAGGATGATGAACGAGGCGAAGGCACTCGCCATGCAAGGCAAGCTTGTAAAGTGGCAGACAAGATTGTACAGCAAGCCCATCGAAGCCAAAGACATACAGGAAGGTGACTTTGATGAAGTTTCCATGTGGAATCCAGCCACGGGCATGCCAACGCGCTACAACCTGGATTATTGGATCGTACTCTGCAACGAGAACAAAGCCAAGAAGGTGTCTACCCCCAAGTTGAAGCAGCTCAAGCAAGAGAAGAAGGCAAAAGAGGCCATGAACGCCAACCCACAAGCCATGGTGACGGGAGCGTCGCAGTTCAACGGCGGCATGGACTCGGACTCGGAGCTTTCGGAGGACGACGACATCTCGGGCGCGCTGAACTCGGCGGCCCGCAACCTCTACATGTAGATTCCCATATCATATTATCATCATAAACGTTACGAAATTTACTCTCATGTTAGTTTAGAAAGACTTAAAAACTCAGAACGAGTCGGCGTCCTCCACGCTGGGCGCGGCCCTCTTGCGGCAGGTCTTGGCCTCCTGGGTGGCGTTCCCCATCCCGGGGACGGAGGGGGCGCGGGAGGAGGAGAGGTTGAGCTGCATGCAGAGGTAGTTGGGGACGGCCTGCATGTCGAGGTCCACGGCGTAGCCCTCCGGGTTGAGCTTGGGTCCGAGGTCGATGTGGACGCGGCAGCACTTGGGGACGGGGTAGGACGCGTGGTAGGGCTGCCAGTCCATGGACACCGATGGGTCGACCGGGAGCTCCTTGGAAGGGTCCGACAGGACGCGGAGGTCGAGCCGGACGATGATCTCCCGCTTGAGCTCCTTGCCGTCCTCCTCGAAGTTGAAGAAGCGGTGGGTCTCGTGGACGAGGCAGCGCCGCACCGCGTCGAAGCTGATCTTGGCGTTGCCGTCCTTGCGGATCACGACGGTGCTGTCCCGGGTCTGGGGGGCGTGGAGGAGGAAGCGGAGCACGTCGTCGTCCGTGCCGGCAGAGACGTCGATGCCAAGCAGGCGGAGGAAATCGATGATAGGGGCGGCGCGGTAGACGAGCCTTTTCTTCCACGTGTCTTCATCAACCTTGTAGGAGACCCAGGATTTGACGACCATCAGTTGCAGGCACCCGCAGCTCGCGGCGATCTCGAGCAGCTGGCACGCGCGCTTCACGGTGGAGCAGTTCGTGTACCGCATCAGCGTGGGGCCGTCGATGCGCACCTCGTCGATCATGGACTTGCCCATCTCGAAGTCGAGGCAGGCGTTCGAGATCGTGACGCCGGCGCCGTCCGGGTCGACTGAGGCCCGGAGGAGGCTGGAGACGCTCCTCAGGAGCATCACCTCCCCGCCGTTGCTGAAGAGGTAGTTGGAGCAGGGGCGGCAGCCCTCGGGGGCGTAAGTCTTGCACACCTCCGTGATGGTCTTCTGCTCCTCGAAGGTGGCGGGGAAATCACCCATCGCGGGCACGAAGGAGTACAGTGTGAGCGGGATGATCTCGATGCTCTTGATCGTGACCACGTCCCCCGGAGTGTCGACCTTCGTGGCATTGTTCGGCTTCAGGAAGAGCTTGACGAGCGTGAAGGGGTGGATGGTGTCCACATCCGGGAACAGCGCCCTCTGCCCGGTCTTCTTGTTCTGCTTCTCGAACTCGAAGGTCTTTGTCGTCGTCGAGAGCCGCAGGGTGCAGCCCGCCTGGACCAGGGTAGCGACGTCCTTCCTCACGGCGCCCTTGTACTGCTGGTTGCTCTCGTGCTTGTCGAAGGAGTAGATCATCAGGCCGCGCCTCCCGTCCGCATCGACATGGATCTCACTCAGGAACTCGGCGTTCTTGAGCGGCTTGTCCTCCAGCGGCGCCTTACCCCAGCCCGCGGAGAAGGGCGCCAGCACCACAAAGTGGCTCGGCAGCGACCTGGAATCGCCGCCCGACATCGTCTTCGCCTGGTTGAACACCCCCAGGCGGCAGTACACCGGGTCCACCGCCATCGCGATCACCGTGGGGAGGTTCTCGTGGCGGTCCTCCGGGGAGGGGAGCGCCAGCCCCTCCAGCCACAGGTTGCTGGGGTGGAGGAGCGGCTCGGGGACCAGGAGCTCCGTGTTGACGGTGGCTTCCTGCATAGCTTCTGCGGTAGCTTCTGGAGCCTCATCGACCTCCATGGAGGCATCGGACTCGGGGCGGTTGTTCTTCTTCATAGGCATGCTACTCTCGCGTGGCGGGAATAGTCTTGGGACGGGCGGCGGCAGGACGGGCTACTTGGAGGGAAAACCCCTGTTTTTTTTGGGTATTTCAAAAAAAAGAAAAAAAAACACAGGAAAAAAAAGAACTAGGGGTGGGCTTCACTCCCACACAGCATGGTGATAGAGCAAGAGGAGAAGGAGAAGCGAATCCGCTCCCTCGCTCTCTCCATCGAGCTCATCAAGAACAACACAACCTACACACGCGCCGACGGTATCCAGCAGAGCTTCAACTACCGGGTGTCTGTTAACTCCCCCTCGGGTTGTTTTTTAGAAGTCACGCAAACCAATGACCCGACATTGTAATTGAAGGATCAAGCTTCGTTTTAGGTCTTGTCTGGTTGTTTAAGAGCGAACATCATGATGAAATGAAAATGAGATCCTGAAGTATGCTTCTGTATGTTATCCAAAAAGTTGCTGTAATTAAATTTTATTCCGAATCTTTCGTTGATCTCTTTTTCCATAGTTTTCATTCCACGTATTATTTGATCGAGATGAGACAATCTGTAATTCATTATCATATATGGGTCATTCAATGAATGGATATACAACAAAGCACCTATACGATTCTCTATGCCGATTGAAGTTACGTTCAATATATCATTATTTTGTTTCTGTATGATATCAAAAAGTTTTCCACGTTCGTTCAATTCTTCGTAATAAGCATACAAGGATTTAGTCAAATAACTAAGGGTTCGATTCAATGATGCATTTGTAACGAAATTCGCATTTCTGAATTTAACTATTTTGTCAATGATCGCATCAAGATCATTCGCATACTGTTCAATGTTCATAATGTCATTGTGCAGATTCCCAATGATTGAATCTAAAGCTTGATTTATCTTTAATAGATCCACTTGCAAAATTTGTTTTAGATCATCTTGCATTTCTTTCATCATTTCCTGGTACAGATCATGAGCAGTGTCCAACTTTACATAGATGTCATGCTCGCTGAGCATCATTCCCATGTGCTTCTTGCACTCCGCGTAATCCATCTCTCTCTCTCTCTCTCTCCACACACACACACACACACACACTCACCGTTTTATATAGCGATGATCACCCTGTGATGGGCAGCATGTAGTGGGTACAGGTCTGATTTAGCCAGTACCCCTACAGAGACTGACATTCAGGGGTGGGGTACTCTGTGGTACTAAATTGAGTAATTTTATAATTACTAATAAAGCCCAGGCCCCCAGGGAAGGCCCCCCCTTGGCCAGAATCTGAAAACCGTTAAACCGTTAAACCGTTGAAAACCGTTAAAATTTATATTTTGCATATATTTCTTGCATTGGTAAAAAAGTAGGACAGGTAGTAGTAGTAGTAGTAGTATAGTAGTAGTAGAGTAGTAGATAGTAGTAGAAGTAGAGTAGAGTAGAGTAGAGTAGAGTAGAGTAGAGTAGAAGTGTCCTACCATTGTCCTACTTTTAACGGTTTAACGGTTTAACGGTTTAACGGTTTAACGGTTTTCAGATTCTGGCCAGGGGGGGGGGCTTCCCTGGGGGGCTCGGCTGTATTACTATTATAAAATCACTCAATTTAGTACCATAAATCACACCACCCCTACATACACTCTCCGTGTAGGGTGGGGTACTGTGTCCTACCGCGTCCTACCATCGTCCTATCCTCTCCTGAACCGCGTCTAGGATGCGGTCGAGGACGGGGACGAGCCTTGGGGTGAGGTGGCGGTTTGCGGCGGAGGTGATGAACCATGCGAAAAGGTAGGACAGTGCGGCGAAGAGGGTGGCGACGCGTCCGAGGCGGAGGAGGCGCATGAGGGCGGCGAGGAGGGCGGCGACCGGGTACTGGTAGACGAGGCCGAGCCTGGCGATGGGGAGGTGCTCGGAGAGCCACCTTGGGAGGTCTGCGGCGGCGGCGGCCTGGTGGAGGGAGCAGAGGAGGATGAAACCTGCGGGGACGGCGCGGGAGACGACCGGGTCGAAGTGGGTCATGCAGGGGGCTCCGAGGGCGATCCTGGCGCAGAGGGCGTCGTCGGTGGGCTGGGTCTGGTCGATCTGCGAGACCCACACGAGGAAGTGGAGGAAGAGGATGTGTCTCCAGTAGCGGATGGCGCGGATGCCTGCCCAGTGGAAGACGCCCGCGGTGGTCCTGCGGCTGATGTAGATGTAGCAAACGCAGCCGAGGGTGTACTCCGAGAAGCGGGTGAGGAGGAAGCGGAAGGAGTAGTAGAAGTGGTTGTCGCGCATGTTGACCGAGGTCATGATGCATGACACGGAGATCTGGAAGAAGATGTTGGCCATGTTGACGTACTCGTGCCTCTCGGGGAAGTTCCTGACGGTGGTGGCGATGGCGAGGCGGACGAGCGGGAAGGCCGTCCTGCAGAGGAGGAGGGTCATGAGGATGGAGGTCGACTCGTTGAAGAGCCTGTAGTGGGCCTGCTGCTGGGTCTCCATGAAGGGCGAGAGGTAGAGGAGCGAGCCGAGGTTGATGGCCCAGGTCATCGGGCTGGACCACAGGCCTTGCGCCATCATCCCAAAAGGGATGAGGAGGAGGTTCACCAGGGCGAGGTGCGGGTAGACCTCCGCGTTGACGTCGTAGAGCACGCGCAGGGGCTTGGCGTCTTCACTCCAGTAGTGGTGGGAGTCGGCGCAGCCCGTGAGGATGAAGAGGACGGTGACGGCGTCGACGGTGATGCTCTCCATGGTCTGCAGGACGCAGAAGATGTTGCTCCGCTGCTTGTCGTCGTCGTCGGCCCTGGAGAGCACCAAGGAGGTGTAGAACGCGAAGGTGACGATGAGGCAGAGCGACTGGGAGGCGCGGACGAGGATGAAGGTCGTGTCGAGGTCCAGGTCGTCGTCGTCGGTGTAGTCGCCCGGTGGGATGCTTGGGTCGTTGGCGGTGTCCCTGCTCGGCGGGTAGACGAAGGCGTCCCTCTCTCCCTCCTCGCAGGCCTCGTGCAGGTTCATGGGTTCCTTCTTGGGGTTTTCGTCCTTGGCATCCTGATCGTGGATTTCCTTCATCCCTCCCTCTGGCCTTCCCGTGGTCCTCCCGCGTTTATGTAGCGCCGGGTCGCGGCGGGGTGAAACCTGCCTTGTGGGGAACGGCGCGGAGATTATATAAGCGCGCGGCTGGGGCTGGATGGTACTGATTCCATCATGGATCGTGAATGGAGGAGAAAATGGACACTCAGGCCCGAGCTGAGAGCGTTCCTTGAAGAGGAATCTGTCCCTGCATCCAGCTTCAGTACAAATCTGAGTCATTCACAGTTGAGTGCTGAACAAATCGAGAAAGAGAGGATCGTTATCTCATCGGATGACGAAAATTCTAAGCCCTGCAAGAAGAAGTGTACCAAGGCCAGCGCAAAGAGTATCAAGACCAGCGTGAATAATGCCAAGGCCAACACGAAGAATCTTTCCCCCAGCAAGGAGAAGGAAGTATCCAACGAGAAGGTTACCAAGGCTGCGGACAACAAGCTCTCCAGTGATGATGGGGAAGAATGGGAGGAGTTGAATTGAGTATCCGGCGAAGAGTAGTATACCCTTCTTTCCCTCCCGCTCCCGCTTGCGTAGTGAATTAAAGTACGAAAGAATATCCCCTCGTGGTCTTGTTGAAGCCTGTCCCGTGGTGGACGGCGCATGTATTGTATTTTAGGACTTACGCGGTGGGATTGGGGGATTGGGGGCTGCGTGTTGGGTGCAGGATATACATTCTCTTGTTCGTGGCGGGGGATGGTCCTCGTGCTGGTGGGGGGTGAAACCTGCCTTGTGGGGAACGGCGCAGAGATTATATAAGCGCGCGGCTGGGCCTGCATGGTACTGATTCTATCATGGATTCTGATCGGATGGAAGCAATGAAAGTGGCAGAGTTGTTTACCGAGGTCTTGCGCGAATTGGGTAAACTAGAGAATAAGAATGGCAACTTGAATACATTCAAGGTTGCCTGGGAGAAGTATCGCAAAGTTTTGAAAGCAACCATGGTCGACGAGCAAACTATGGTCGACGAGCAACCTATGGTCGACGGGCAAACTATGGTCGACGAGCAACCCGTGGTCGATGAGCAAACGTTTGAAAAAATACGCAAGAACATGATGGCTGAGACCATTCATGAATTGTTCAAGCGTGGCATCTTGTTCGAAACGATGGACGCTATGCCGTGCTTACACAGGAATACGAAAGCAAAGACGAGCGATCAAGAAAAGAAGAAGATGGATGATGTACACAACACCCGTGCAAACGACAAGCCCCTCGGCGAGGAAGAAAAGGACCGCGAGGAAATGGAGGAAGTATCCGACGATGAAGAATTAGAGGAATTGAGTTGAGCATGCGTAGAAGAGTAGGCAAACCCTTCTTTCCCTCCCGCTCCCACTTGAGTAGTGAATTAAAGTACGAAACAATATCCCCTCGTGGTCTTGTTGAAGCCTGTCCCGTGGTGAACGGCGCGGGTATTGTATTTAGGACTTATGCGGTGGGTTTGGGCGATTGGGGGCTGCGCGTTGGGAGCGGCATGTATATTCTCTTGTTCGTGGCGGGGTTGGTCCTCGTGCTGGTGGTAGAGCGGGTGGTTCACTCTGTTCTGTCGCTGGTGGTGGACCGCTCGATGCGCCCTACCAAGAGGTATGCCTCCATGTCTCTCGTGGGCACGTTCTTCCAGAACATCTTTGCTTACTTTTTCTTCGCCTTCAATGTCCTGGCGATGACGCTGGGTTTCATCGCGCGGAACCTTCTCTGGTTTGGATTCCTGGTGCTGGTCATGGCAGTTCTCAGCATGGTGTTGGACTTTGCTCCCGGGTTGGTTGCCGAGTATGTGTACGTTTACAACGCCGGGCTGGGGACCTACATTCACTTCTTCATTGTCCTACCGGTTCAGTTAGTGGAGTTGCTGTTTAGCCATGTCACCGCGCTGTACAACTGCGTCACTTGGATCGTGAATGGGGTGTTCCTGTCGGTGCTGGCCCCGTCCTTCCTTGCGGACAACGTGAATGTCGGATGGCTCCCTAGGTTCGGCACGTCTTTCTTCAAGTTCTCGGGTGAAATGGTCCTGTCGATCTCGTCATACCTTGTCAATGTGATGGCGTGCGCGACGAACCCCCTCGGCGGGGTGCCCAGAGGCGGCACCGGCAGCTTCTTGATCCTGAACGCGACGGGTTCGGTGGAGTGCTTCGAGCCCGGCATGATCAATCTCGACCTTATAACGCCTGCGGGCAGCTTCCGCGATATGTGTCTCTACATGGCAAGGTTCGTGGTGTTCTCCTGCCCCGCTGCGAATGCGGTCATTGATTTACTAACATTCCCGCTGAGCGATATGAACCTGTACAAGGGCATCCATTGTATCGTGAACGCGCTTTTGGGTCTGTTCGTCCAGCTCCCCTTCGTAACCCTGCACCGCTGCCGGTTCGGTGCGACGCTCCCGATGCTCGGCGTGCACCAGCGCATCCTGTGCGCCCCGGACTTCCGCCCGGCGATGGATCTTTCGGTAGCTGGGGCTAGGTTTATGGGCAGGGTGGTCGATAATTGGTTGGACTCTTCGCTGGTGATCCTGGAGACGCTTTTCACCGGCTCCGCGCCGCAGTGCGACCCCGTCCCCATCCCCCTGAGCTACAGCGATGATGACTCCCGGGCGCTTTTCGGGGGCAACTTCCGCGCGGTGGTGGGGCTGACTCCGGGGATGTACGCGGTGACGGATGGGATCAGCACGGAGTATAACATCTTCTACAAGCAGGTGACAAGGGAGATTGCTTACAGGAACTGGCCCTTTCCTGTCGAACCGGCGTACGGCATCGCGGCGGTCAAGTACGGGGAGCTGCCCGAGGGCGATGTGGCGGGAGACCTGACGACGGGGATGCTGGGGTGCGAGTGCCTGGACGTCCCCGGCGTAGGGGCGCAGATCACCTGTGCGATCGTCCCGTACCTCTCCGGGAACAACATACCCTCCACCACGGGCTCCGTGGCTTCGGTGATCCAGGAATACCTCACCTCCAACACCGTGGAGCAGGCGGTGAACTCGAGCAACGCGACGCAGCGCATCCCGGTGACCTTTTCTGTGCCCTCTTCGAGCCAGTACGCGACCTGCAAGAGGCTGAAGATCCAGGTGGAGTCGCTCAGGTGGCCCGCGACGAGGGTGTCTGCAACGAGCACTAGCCCCGGTCCTTGGAATCAGGTGGGTGGAGCGGCCCAGGTGAATGTCCTGGATGTGGCCAGGGGGGTAGGGGCGCCTCGAAAAAAATCCTATACGTATAAATACGTTGCAAGTTTTTCTTCCCGGCTTCTCTCCCATATCATTTTATACCTCCCCGCGACCCCTCGGCTCAAGAGGCTCATAACCTGTTTCCACGGGCCCGGACGGCCCGCACGGGCCTGGAGCTCGCCGGAGAGGCCCGGAATATGCCCAAAGGATGTCAATCAGGCCGATCCAAAGCAAAGAGACATAATCAGGACTTTTTGGAGAGATTTCCGATCAATTAGTACATGAACTGGTTTATAGGTAGAAAAACCCTGGATTTTCAACTCAATTTCCAGTTGAGTTTCGACCTCGAAAAAAATCCTATACGTATAAATACGTTGCAAGTTTTTTCTTCCCGGCTTCTCTCCCATATCATTTTATACCTCCCCGCGACCCCTCGGCTCAAGAGGCTCATAACCTGTTTCCACGGGCCCGGACGGCCCGGACGGGCCTGGAGCTCGCCGGAGAGGCCCGGAATATGCCCAAAGGATGTCAATCAGGCCGATCCAAAGCAAAGAGACATAATCAGGACTTTTTGGAGAGATTTCCGATCAATTAGTACATGAACTGGTTTATAGGTAGAAAAACCCTGGATTTTCAACTCAATTTCCAGTTGAGTTTCGACCTCGAAAAAAATCCTATACGTATAAATACGTTGCAAGTTTTTTCTTCCCGGCATCTCTCCCATATCATTTTATACCTCCCCGCGACCCCTCGGCTCAAGAGGCTCATAACCTGTTTCCACGGGCCCGGACGGCCCGCACGGGCCTGGAGCTCGCCGGAGAGGCCCGGAATATGCCCAAAGGATGTCAATCAGGCCGATCCAAAGCAAAGAGACATAATCAGGACTTTTTGGAGAGATTTCCGATCAATCTGGTTTATAGGTAGAAAAACCCTGGATTTTCAACTCAATTTCCAGTTGAGTTTCGACCTCGAAAAAAATCCTATACGTATAAATACGTTGCAAGTTTTTTCTTCCCGGCTTCTCTCCCATATCATTCTATACCTCCCCGCGACCCCTCGGCTCAAGAGGCTCATAACCTGTTTCCACGGGCCCGGACGGCCCGCACGGGCCTGGAGCTCGCCGGAGAGGCCCGGAATATGCCCAAAGGATGTCAATCAGGCCGATCCAAAGCAAAGAGACATAATCAGGACTTTTTGGAGAGATTTCCGATCAATCTGGTTTATAGGTAGAAAAACCCTGGATTTTCAACTCAATTTCCAGTTGAGTTTCGACCTCGAAAAAAATCCTATACGTATAAATACGTTGCAAGTTTTTTCTTCCCGGCTTCTCTCCCATATCATTTTATACCTCCCCGCGACCCCTCGGCTCAAGAGGCTCATAACCTGTTTCCACGGGCCCGGACGGCCCGGACGGGCCTGGAGCTCGCCGGAGAGGCCCGGAATATGCCCAAAGGATGTCAATCAGGCCGATCCAAAGCAAAGAGACATAATCAGGACTTTTTGGAGAGATTTCCGATCAATTAGTACATGAACTGGTTTATAGGTAGAAAAACCCTGGATTTTCAACTCAATTTCCAGTTGAGTTTCGACCTCGAAAAAAATCCTATACGTATAAATACGTTGCAAGTTTTTTCTTCCCGGCTTCTCTCCCTTGACTCATTTTATACCTCCCCGCGACCCCTCGGCTCAAGAGGCTCATAACCTGTTTCCACGGGCCCGGACGGCCCGCACGGGCCTGGAGCTCGCCGGAGAGGCCCGGAATATGCCCAAAGGATGTCAATCAGGCCGATCCAAAGCAAAGAGACATAATCAGGACTTTTTGGAGAGATTTCCGATCAATTAGTACATGAACTGGTTTATAGGTAGAAAAACCCTGGATTTTCAACTCAATTTCCAGTTGAGTTTCGACCTCGAAAAAAATCCTATACGTATAAATACGTTGCAAGTTTTTTCTTCCCGGCATCTCTCCCACAGGTTTATAGGTAGAAAAACCCTGGATTTTCAACTCAATTTCCAGTTGAGTTTCGACCTCGAAAAAAATCCTATACGTATAAATACGTTGCAAGTTTTTTCTTCCCGGCTTCTCTCCCATATCATTCTATACCTCCCCGCGACCCCTCGGCTCAAGAGGCTCATAACCTGTTTCCACGGGCCCGGACGGCCCGCACGGGCCTGGAGCTCGCCGGAGAGGCCCGGAATATGCCCAAAGGATGTCAATCAGGCCGATCCAAAGCAAAGAGACATAATCAGGACTTTTTGGAGAGATTTCCGATCAATTAGTACATGAACTGGTTTATAGGTAGAAAAACCCTGGATTTTCAACTCAATTTCCAGTTGAGTTTCGACCTCGAAAAAAATCCTATACGTATAAATACGTTGCAAGTTTTTTCTTCCCGGCATCTCTCCCACAGGTTTATAGGTTTGGACAAGGCAGTATGGCAAGGCTGATGTCCTTGCGAGAGCATATCATCGTGTCTTCGCACAGGTGTACCGATTGCGGCATGTCAGCTAGTGGTACTCCAACGAGGGTTGAAGTGCGAGATGCCATCAAGGAGGAGATGAAGGTAATGGAGGAGAAGATGGATGTAAAGATGAAGGTAATCGAGGAGAAGATGGATGAGAAGATGAAGGTAATCGAGGAGAAGATGAAAGAACTGGACCACAAGTTTGACGATTTCAAAACTGTGATCAGGGACGAACTGCGAACGAATTTAGGTTTTGTTGCTGGATGGAGGAGGGATGTACCAGGTCCCAGTGGAGGGCAGGTTACATCTGGAAGCATGGACTTCACAGATGCTTTCCGCATCGTCATGCAACAGGTTGCCAATATAGGACAACAGGTGCAGCAGATGGGCAATATAGGGGAGCAGGTGCAGGCCGCCGTGGGTGAAGCTATGCGACAGATGGTACTGGATGGAGCAGGCCATGTTATGATGGCACATGGGGTGAGCAACGTGATGGCAGATGCTGACTCGAATGGAAGATTGAATGAGAGTGAATCGGAGGAAGGTGCAGAAGTGAGCAGGGAGGGGACACCGGAGAGGAATGCGGTGCTGGTTTCATCACCAGGACTGGGGGATGATGGCAACGGTGAGATACAAGTTGGAGGGGATGACTTCGAATGGGAAGGATGGGGGCCTGGCAGACACATGGTCCCGTTGGCTTGGCGATTTCCTTTGAGGTGCAGAGTTCGAAATATGTTCATGTGGTGGAATTTGGGGCAAGATGTCATCGTGGAAGGACAAGTGAGGAGGATTCGGCCCTTAAAGCACCTCAGTCAGGTTCCTTTCTCCGCAGACGTGAAGGATGAGAACACGAGGAAGAATGTGTACAAAGCATATCTTGTGATGACCATGGTGGAAAATATATGCCGAGAGCAAGGAGTACTGCAAGGAAATGAGGGGATTATGCCTCACAACTTCTGTCAGTGTTACAGAACAGGTTTCCGTACGCTAGTGGAAAGGGCGTACGGAGATGATGCATGGACGGCGATGGCACAGAGAAAGAGGTACTCGCAATACTCATACATCACATACTACAAGCACTTGGTGGAATATCGCCAGCAGGTTCGTATTGAGATGTCACTGGCAGTTGAAGACCATCAGGTAGAGGCGAATAGAAATAGTGAGAGTGGACAAAGGACGTATGCAGACATTCTCCAGAGCACGTAGTGTAGAGAATTTACAGTTCGTTCCTGAATGAAATCATTGTTGAGTTGATACATCTGTGTTAAGCCCTCATGTGGAAATGGAATGTTGGAAAGAATGAGTCTCGCTACGATGCCAAAGCGATGGTAGGTTGTGATGATATACTCAAGGGTACTTTTTGGGATGATGATGACAATGAGAGCAACAGACAATGCAGTTGATCAGGTATCATACTGCACTGCAAATCAAGGGGATGGTGGATAATGTGACAGGGAAGGGATGCCGGAGTATGCTTTGTTGGAGTTGAGGTTGTGAGATGCCGTGGTATCAGCTGCCATCTGGCATGTTGGTGATGGATGGTGATGGATGGTGATGGAGGAGACATTCGCATGAATCACTGTCTTGATGACAAGCTAAACATGATCTGTGGAGTGCATATTGTCATGTACGGCATTATGGATTTTCATGCACTGATGCCAAGCTGGATTCAGGGTCAGTTATGTTCCAAAAGGAACGTTGCGTGTCAACCATATTCCACAGTAATGCATATCGTCAGGTGTTACAGGTTCATGATCATGGGGGCGAATGAGGGGTGACATGGAGTTTGAAGCTCAGGGGTTTATCATGATTGGAGAGATGTTACTTCTTTGGCATTGACCACATCTAGATGCTGCATATTGATGAGTGATGACAACGTTCCCACCACCATCAGTGAATTGTCTGCACACTGGAGTGCAAGGCTGTGACGGTTCAGTGCAAGTCCGAGACGGGACAGTCAAACCATGAGCAAAGCCAGCATGTGCGACTTGAGCACTATCGGACTTCAAAGGCAAGTCAACCTTGAATTTGAGCTGTCGTCTTGATACTTGGAGGGAAGATCGGGAGCCTGGATTCAGGGGTCATGTGATGGGTGAGGAGGTGTTCCGACGCCCACAAGTACCTGACCAAGGCGAATGCGCAACCGCAACGATCCGCCATGAAAACAACGCCGAAATGGCTAAGTGTGAAAGACCTGGTACAAATTTGTACCAGGCATGTGTACCATGATTGTCGTGGAACTTGAGTGAAATCTCTGGATATCCGGTACAGTCCTTTTGTACCAGTAAATACGTCCTACAACAGTAATAAAATGCGCCTCTTTTTTTTTCGTGAAGTATAACCCTTTTTAAGTTAGCGCCCTTATGAGCTCAATGCTTTTATTTCTGCGCGTTTATGTCGAATTCCCCCTTGATTTATACGTTCAAATTTAAGGCCACCAAATATATAACCGTTGTCTATAACATTTTTCAAAATAAATCAATAAATGTTTTTTTTTGGGTTTTTCCTCGCGCCCTAGCGCCCAACATTTTTGGGTTTTTCCTCGCACCCTAGCGCCCAACCTCCTACCCATAAAATGAAGGAGAAAATATTTACTCAACTCTTACCTCCCTGCAGGACAAAACTTTATGCTCATGTCCTGCTTCTGTCAGACACTTGTTTATTTCCTCCTTGAGGAATCACATGGATCAGCATTACCTTTGAGTGTGCTTCTGCGGCCAGTGAGAAATGAAATGTTTTGTATTACCTGTAAGATGCAGGCTTTGGCATCAGTTGCTGTTGTTGGGGACTCTTCTGATTCATTTGTATATATCATTCCGCACATTTTGTGCAGTGGGACATAATTTTCGGATATCAAACATGTCTTCCACGTTCGTTGTGTCGTCATCACAATTGTCAGAAAATATCTCGCACTGGCTAGAAAAGGATTTTTGGAAGCAAACACACGATTACGATTTTGCTCGCTTCCGCGATTGCAGCGGCAGAGACAGACGACCTTCGTATCCCTTCGTATCTGGTGATGGCTTCAGAGCTTTGTGTAAGCACAGGTGTGAATGTAATGGCTGCAATTTTCAACCTTCTGATGTGCTTCATGGGGATTGTATATATATCTCTACGACGAATGAGCGAATCGAGACTACAACTCAGTATCTCATGGATTTTGCAAGGATTGCAATTCACATCTCTCATCCTTTTTCAGTTATTACACACAATGGTGATCTTAGTACTCCTGACGGAGATGAATGGCACGTTGGGGAGTCCCCAATTTACAGACATAACTGTGGGCATCTATTGAAACTTCCTTTGATGTTTCGTTGGTTCGCTTCCAATTGCAATACACAGAGCAAGACGTACTCCAACAAAGTTGTTTGTATCCCTATTGGCATAGAAAACAGGTACAACAGTGTTGGAAAATCTCCAGAAGCTTACTTTCGCCTCATGAAAGAAAATTACCATATCAAACCTGCTAAAACACTTCTGGTCGCCTTCAAAGAATCCCCTGTCAAACCATTTCGCTCCCAGGCTTTGAAGGAGTTAAATGCTCCATGGATCACAAAGGGGCAATACTCTCGCAATGAATGGCTGAGACAGGTGTCGAATCACAAATGGATTGTTTGTCCGATAGGTCATGGTCTTGATACTCATCGAACATGGGAGGTGTTGCTGATGAGGAGATACCCTGTCGTGTTGTCGTGCAATTTGGATAGCGTTTTTCACGGACTGCCGGTTCTAATTGTGCAGTCGTGGCATGACATCAATCAAACATATCTGGACGAAATGTACTCACATTATCAACAGAAGCAATTCAATATGGAGAAACTTTTTCATAATTTCTGGGAACGAATGATTTCTTCTACTGTAGAGATGAATGATACTACGAGGATGAGTAAATGATATACAGAGAAGAGCGAGGGCACATAATGTAGATTGTTTCCACATCCGGTTTCATCCAGGATGTGTAGGATGTTCGATCAGGACCTCATGCTGCAGCATTCCTCAGCAGACAACTCTCTACAAGTGAAGTAATTAACAAGTTTTACTTGAACTTAAAGAGTGTTGGCGGAGATTAGGGCTTTGATGTCTTCCCACAACTCTCCGTCGAGTTCCTCATCGGGGATGTTTAGGACGTCGGAGTTCTGGTGCGATTGGCGTAGGCGGGATCTTATATGCTTCGAGCCTTTGCAAAAATACCTGGATTTTGGAAGGGATCATGTCGATTGCATTGCGAAAATTGCTTTCTTCCACTTCTCGTCGATCTATCCCATGCTCAGGCTTGCCAACTGACGCGCCGTGCATGTTTGCTGTACTTTCTCGCAGTTGCCTTCGCCTCCTCCTCTCACCATGGGCTCGTTCTTGTTTTACTTCCTGTGGCACACTGTATGGTATTCGGGTTTTTGTTGTCTTTGTATCCTCTTTCTTTCTTCGCGCTGTATGCGCTCATTTTCCTGACGTTGGATGGTTCGCGCTTCTGATTGCCACCTGCGCTCACGCCTTGATGGTGCTTCCGGGGCCGATGGTTCTGGTGCTGCATAGTGGTGCGTTCCGTTTTCTTCCATCTCTCGAATGCGATGATACCGTGTCCATGCTAAATAATGGAGCTTATACCGTATGTCATCGTTTGCATGCTGGATAAAGCGGTGCAATGATGGGATTGGAATTATGGAGACGTTGTCAGGGATGTATTGCTTGACGTCGTCCCAGATTTCACCATCTAGTGCTTTATTGTTGTCGTTGATCGTGGTTGGGTCATTCTGGAAACAATGATTGTCGTTAGGAGTAACTGCGAACCGGTGGGACATACGGTAAGTTATTCGACTGGAGGGCAGTGAGCTCGTTTTATATCGTCAATGCTTTGTTGTATAAACCGTGTTTTTACCCTCCTCCCCAGAGCTTCTGATAGGATAGGACATTTTTCTGGAACATCTCGGTCACAACCAGCGTGATTATGAGGGTGAGGACGAGGAAGTTGATGACGAACTGCTTCATGGCCGTGACGGTGTGCATGTACAAGCCCACACGGTCGTTGATGATGTCCGGTAGCATGTAGATGGCGAATAGCGCGAAGATGAAGTAGCCAGTTGTATGAGAGGATGTAGCTGTACGGTGTGATGCTCTCCGATGGTACGGCCGTGAACACAAGTGCAACCAGGATGAAGATCTGTGCGTAGCTGATGATATCCTTGTAGCCCTGGTAGTACTCGTACACGCTGCTCGTCTCGAGCTTGAGGTCGTCAGAGAGGCGGAGGGAGCGGGTCCAATAGAACGTCATCCAGTCGCCCGAGGTGCTGATCACCGTGTAGAACATGACAAGCGTAAAGTCCGATATGGGAGTTTTAATGCTCGTACCATTTGGCATCATCCAGTACTACAGCTGGAGTGGGTCTGAGTATTGGAACCCTGAAAGTTTTATGGGATATTCAAAATGTCACATGTACCGAGTGTAGTAGTGGATCAACATTACAGACTACTTCAATGTTTGTGTAATACTCTCAGTCGTGTTATCTCACATATGTGAATTACTCCCGGAGTGCCAATTTTTAGTAAAACAAATCTATCTACTGTCAGTGTGGAGTTGTGCACTTAAAATTGTAAGTTATAGTTATTGATTGAGAATTGATCACATACGCAATTCTCCAACTTCCGATAACGGACCGCACTAAAGGCTAGACTTAGCTTTCATCGTCAACGAAGTCAGGCAATGGGGATTATCTACGAAAAGAATCGAGTGGATCATTTCTTCCCCTTCAAGTTCAAGTCGACTTCGTTGGCTCCGTCCGATCGGCGGGATGATGACGGTGCTGAACAGCCATTTCCCCTGCTACACACCGTGCAGTAGTAGTCTTACGGGCAGGAGAGCCCGGAAGACTATTGCTCGAAGTTGCTCATCGGGTTTTGGGGGGGGAAGCTCCCGGGATGTTAGGCCGGCGGTACCGAGCCCGTATTTATCAATATCAAGACAGGAGCTGTTGGTCGCATCGAAGGTTAAGCCGGGCTCGTACTCGCAGTGGTAGGTTCCAACCAGGTCGATTCAGACGGAGTTTTCGAAGCAAGGGTCTCCCGCGCATGCCAGAGGCAGAGGCCGGTGTCGGGGCCTTCGCCGTAGACTTCAATGCAGCTGCACCCAATATTTCCAACCGTATCATCAGACTGTCAATCCGTTCGATGACGCTAATGTTTCAGCTTAGCAGTGCGTTTGCTTTTCACAACGGTCTGTTACATATTAACTGGTATTTGCATCCTTCAGCTATGACCCATTCGTGAGTTTATACTTCGGTTTACAACACGACAAGCGACAGAATCTCCCGAAAGAACCTTGTTCATGATAGCCAAATCAATTAATTTTGACACTTTTCTAAAGTGCAATGAAAATTTGGATGGTAACAAAGGTGAAATTGGCGGCAACGTTTCAATCAAACGTTGAATTCGTGTTGAACTTTGTCTTTTAACTCCGTCAAAATGTAGTCCTTTCTCCTTGTGATTCACTACTAGGACCTCTTTGGATTGGAAACGAACATACAGAAACATTAAGTTGTGAATAACCATAAACTTTGTTAACCATACACTCCAAACTTGCGATTGATTTCTCAGCCACCACAGATTGGATATCAATGATGGTATACATGGTGTGTCATGTTGTGCCATACCGCTGGAAGTATTCAGTTTAACGAGTAAAGTCCAATTCTGAAATGCCTTCCACACGTGTGGAAAGACTACTGTACCCCATGTGCACGGCAACTGATATAGGTAAAATGTGCTCATGTTTGGAAGGAAATCGGATGGCTTTCTCGATCCAAACCGCATTCCCTGCGTTTCTCCGACGATTGCATGTTGATCTTGTAGACCGAATCCTGCGATATTCTGTTGTGCAATCAAAGGCCCAAAACGATCAAGTGTGATCAGGATGAAACGGAACCATTGGGAACTCAATTCCAAGTCATCCTCCAAAAAAATTCCAATCTTAGATGATGAAACATTCCATGAGAAAATCCATTGTTGAAGAAGTCCCATGTGCATCGGTGCAATGTGGACATGAACATGTGGAAACCAAGATGCGAAACCCTGAGAGATCCGACATACTTCCTTCCAAAGAGATGTCTCCTGTCCAATCGGGCGATCGATGTGAATTCTAATCTGTACCCACCACCCCTCAAAATCTGTTTTTGACAAAGATGCAAGGAGGCGCTTCAAAGAAAGAGGCCGGTCCATAGCTAGAATGTTGACAACAAATCCTTGAAATTTCAATCGTGTTGAACGTGGTAGCCCTGCACTTTTGGGTGAGTTCAAGTCACAATTTAGAACATGTTGATGCGTCCGAACATTGAACCACAGATTTTTCCGTTTCAACCTCTCAATTTTACTTTCGACACCCACAAGCCAATTGTTATGAATCACGATTGGAATGTCACCATACTTTATTGGAATATTTTCCTCGAAGTACGCCTTTCCATCCGGAAACCAATACTTGGTTAGAAGATTAACAGAAAAGTTGTTATTTGTTGTAAGTAAAATTTGTGAATATTTGTTAATACATTCTTGTTCTGTATACAAACTTGCCTGATATGATTTATTCAAGGATTGCAGGTGTCGGATCTTTTTCATGTTCTCTTTTTGGCAATGAAGAACAAGCGTCCAAAATTGAACTCCAGTTTTGTCGCCTTTGATTGCAACCAGTCCTCCAGAAATCTGAGAATTCTTGTGCTCTTGACCTTGCAGAGTAGCATTCAAGCTCAAGTACGGAAATGGATTTTGAACCCAAAAGGTATCGACGTCTGCTGTCATCACGTTGAAGCCATACTTCAAAAGATGTAAAATAGTCCTTGTTCTGGACGTCATCACAACTTGAAATTCTGGTGAACCATACAAGGCACTCTGCACTTGATTCAAGGAAGGTGGAAATGTTGTTTGTTTCAATTCCACCAGCCTCGCATGGCTTAGAACATCTTGTGGAAGAAAGACGTAGTTTTCAAGACTGAGTCGTTGCGCGTTGCAAATCCATTGGAGAACATAATCAAAATAGCCAGAACTTGCAGTGATCAAGGCAAGCCAACCCACTTGGAAAGACTTCCTGGCCAGAGTTAACTCAAGTTGTTGCTTTGTATTTGTGGAAAATGAGAGAAAGCCATGGTAATTGTGTATAGTCATGTCAGAATTTGTCACTGTACCTAACTTAAACAAATTACCAATATCATTATGAACAAGTTGTTCATTGTGGAATGCACCTCGCCGCAAACGATGGGGAATCATGTTCTGCTGCGATTGAATGTGCATCACGTTTCCTAGCAAGGAAATGTCCACCACAGTGAGGTTTGAGTGCATTAGCGCTTGAAAAAGGAACCAATTATCCCAACGGTATACACCAACGATGAACGGAAGAAACTTTTGAACCATCCAAGGGTGAACGGCATGTGAAAGGACAAACAAGTCAATTCCATCAGGTGGGTGCATCAGCCCCGTCATGTTGGAGAGGCGATCGATGAATCGAAAATGAGATTCACCACAGAAATCAAGAGGAATGTCCGAGAAATCTGTTCGTCTGCTGACAAGAAAACTTGAATGAAATTGAAATAGAGAAGCTGTAATGCTCGTCTTCAAATGTGGCATAAGCCACAAATCTCCATTAATGTAGCAAATATGTTTGCCTTTGGCAATACTGCTCACATGCTTCCACACAATGTCTAATCGCGGACGATCCTGAATCATAAAACTGTTTATTGCAGAGCATTTTACTCGCGTCATCGATGGAATCCGCTGTTTGTAAACGCGACAGGTGTCATCTGAATCAGTCCAAATCCACAAAAAATCTTTGTAAAATGTCTCGATCCAATTGTCTATCAATAAACGTTTCAAACAAAGATCCTCAGGGTTTGCGCTCAACCCTTTCCAAATCGAAAATACAACAAGTGAATAATTCCGCACCTCGAGAGAGGGTACATGACGCAAAGTGGCAGGTATTGCTCGAAATCGAAATGAAAGATACCAAAAGGACAAGGTCGTCATACAATGGATAATTGTGAGACTACACCATAATCTACGACATCTATCCTGATTTGGGACCTTCCGATCAACAGCGCGACCCATTGCACGGGATTATGTAAGGAGCTGCTGAGGCATTATTATTTAGGGGGCTTATGGGCTTTAGCCCTGATTTATCTATAGGAGGAAGCTCCTGGAACCGAGGTATATCTTAAGTTTTTGAGTAAAGATTTACTTAATTCCTTACTTCAAAAACTTCAAAACATTTCCAAGTGTGGCGCAATGGCGGCGTTATGGACGCTTTGTATCGGTTTCTGCTAGCCGAGATATGCCCGATCAAGTCCCCGGAGAGCCATGGGCGATCAGCGGGTGAAGCGGGACTTTGCGGCGTAGCAGAGACCCAACGAGGACAAGATTGCAGCGCCTATCGCCTGCAATACACGCGCGGGGCCCGCAGCTTTCGATTGAGCCTAAGATCACCTCCATCCGACCAGTATTAGCCGAGTTCGCGCCGCCGCCCTAGGAGTCGGCGGGGAAGCGTGAAGATAATAGCAAATGATGTTTATTCCTGGACGCTGCGGGTAAGAGGTGCAGAACAGCGCGGGCGCACAGGGTTTCCGCCTTTGGTTAGTTTGATATAACACATGTGGATCTCAATCTGGAATTAATGAGCTATTTTGCAATTGCAAGTATTTTGAACTTCGTTTTGATCGTTGGATCTCAATTCCATCCATCGTACGATTGTAATTCGTTTCCCAGCCCCTAGTGGCCTACCTCTCTAGCTGCCTGTGCGACCCGGGCTACCCGGACTAGTAAACCACCGCTGCCAAAATCTGCAGCATCTGCCCGGCGGGGGGCTCCCAAACGGAAGCATATCATCGATGACTTCATCAAGGTACATGGATATACAGACAAACCAATCCGTATCCACTGGCATGGGTCGTATCCGGAGGATGTCTATAAACGCCTTAGGTCTTGAACATGACGAATTTTCGTCGGTCCCCAACGCTGGTCAGTGCAGTCGTACGTCTCACACAGGACAACTCGGACCTGGGGACTTCGACCCATGCTCAAATTCCGGAATAGTTGCTCCAACGTCGTCCATTGCGACGTTTAGCGGCGTACAGGGACTCGAGCAGATGGGAGGCAAATCAGTCACCATCAACCGATGGAGCAACTATTCCGGAATTTAGGTTGTATTTGAAAATTTCATTTTCATTTCGGTTATCACTGAACAAGTTACAGTCTTGAAAACCTTTTGTACAGCAACCTGAAAGTCAGCAAGGGAATACCTCCATCTTGGTTGATGTTGAGAATTTACACCCAAGAATGAGCACGAATCCCGTGCCCACGAAGTCTCCCGAACAGTTCATAACTCTGCACAATGTTGTTCGAGGATTGACGTCCCCAACCCCGGTATTGCATCGGATTTCCTCCAGTATGATGCTCCCAATAGAATTCATCAATTAAACCAAGAGCTATAGAATCGTTAAGCAGATCATGAACCAATCTCTCTTCCATAGCAACATTATCAATATCCAATTTCACCACAACAAAGTCACTTCGTCGACTTAGCTTGCGAATGAACCTCCATGGATTGTATTTTGAATTGTGATCTGCATTTACGCCGATATTGTAGTAATGCATTGCGACCAATACTTCAAATGGCAGGTCTTCAAAGATTTTTTGAGGATGATGTACAGTCAACTCCCAGCTATATATTTGGTCAAAAATTATCCCAACATTTCTATATTCCTCGACAAACCATGATTGACTTGCTCCACCTGCACCTGAATAATACAGGCTTGCTCCAATATCAAACAGGAAACTCTTGGCATGCTTGCCCAGCAACTGACTGATCTGTCCACTCGACATTGTCAACATGTAATTTTTGTCCACGTTATATTTTCCAGTATCATCGAAACATACATGAAGAGGGTGACGGAGAAACCCCACGAGGGGTTCAATTGGTATTTGGAGGATTGTTGTCCCATCTGAAGACATGTATTCATGATAAGAAAATACATCTAATATCGACTGATTCCGTACCTCATTAAAATTGGGGTTTGCCAGCGAAGTCTGCCGAGAAAAATAGTAGTGAACCCACTGAAACACACGAGATGAAGCAACTTTCATCAGCTCACAACCAGTTGTCCAAGAACGATCGTCCGTTTGAACAGCACGTATTCGCATGCGCCACTCGGATTCCCATCGCGATTCTACATAGTTCCTAAAAATATATCCGTTTTGACCAACCGACAGGTTTTTCTCAGTCAGACTGAATTGTGAGTGGAAACAGAGCGAGTAAAGAACAAGCCAATAAGCAATGGCGACAAGCAACAAAACAACAATCGCTGAGACAAAAAACTTCATTGTTCTTTGTAATCAGTGAGGCCGGACGTTAGCGCAAGGGGTGCAGAATAAAATGTATTTGTTTTCCCTCACAATTTCTCAAAAACGTGGCATTAGCGGTTAGGAAAATTTGAATAATATTCCGTAACGGCTATTTCTGGGGGAAAACAATACAAGGACTGGATCTCGCAGGGCGCTTCAAGATTCTTTCACTAAGTCAAAAAAAGAGGAGAGAATTCGATATATATTAATATTAAAGAGAGTAACTGGTACAAATAAGTGTACCGCATATATATGTAATTTACTCAATTATCAGTACTGATCGCCGGTACAAATTAGTACCAGAGTTTTGAACCTTACGCATTTCAAACGATCACGCCAACAATGCGTGCAAGGTACTGAAACTATGCATGTTTCGCGATAAATGTGTCCATCAACTGCAATTTTTTCAAAGCCATTCATGTTCACCTTCAAGTTCATCATCTACACACACATTTGTACCGCATATATATGTAATTTACTCAATTATCAGTACTGATCGCCGGTACAAATTAGTACCAGAGTTTTGAACCTTACGCATTTCAAACGATCACGCCAACAATGCGTGCAAGGTACTGAAACTATGCATGTTTCGCGATAAATGTGTCCATCAACTGCAATTTTTTCAAAGCCATTCATGCCTCCCTTGACCCCCCTGTTTCTCGACGGATCCTGCCGGCCGGGCCCGGCAATCAAGACATCTTAAGCCTTGAACACCGTCGAGAGTCTCCACTTCTGAGATTTGCAGAGTGTGTTGATTTCTTGATGCGTGGGATTAGTTTTTGAGCGTTCATCTAGCTGTGATGTCGGACATTTGAACCGTCAACACAGTATGCACACATGTATTATTTGTTCTATTGTGAAATAAAGTGATATCAGTCTTGCATTCGAGGCCATGCTAAAGAGCATTTCTGTATCTTCTTTCATTTCACATAAATGCAGAATGCATGCAAGGGTTGAATGATGATGAAAACATCGCTTCCCCTGTAGACCATTCCGACTCACTGTAAGCTTGGGATCGACATCACAAGTGGTAGTGATCTGATTGCAGAAATCTTTATACATTCATGAGGTATCATTCTTTGCAACAATCTAATTACAATGACAACCGCAAGTAGCATCAAATACATGCGCAATGGTCAGCACAATAAGCCTCACATTGGTTTCTTCGTTGTGCCTGCATAGCAGAGATACATCAAAAAGTTGCAAATTGTTAGGATATGCTCCTAAACTATGATTCAAATAACAGTGCGAGTGATGCGCAGCAGTTCCTTCAAGAAACAAACAGTATCTACAATCGGTAAACCATGCACGTGAAGTTTATTCTTTCTCAATTTTCCTTAAATATAGAGGATTAGCTAAACCAGGAATCTGCCTCAGATACCTCAAAATAAAGTAAGTAAAGTTAAGCACAATAAATCCTATCATTCGCTCCCACTAGCACAACAATTGAGAATCTTCTTCACATTGTCTTCGCTGCAAAGATCAACGAATCAACAAATTAAAATCTCGAATCATCTTCTTCAATGCATCCGTGGTAAATTCACGAGAATGCAACCAAGAATTGTCTGAAGACTGATCGTACCCTTTCCATTTGACCAAATATTGCACTCGATTACCTTTTCCACGACGTGCTAAAATTCGTTCAACTTCGTAATAGTCTCCGTCTTGTTGAATCAATGGCAATGGAGGTGCCACCGAATTTTCCAAATCAACGTCACGAACGTAATACGGTCTGAGCTTCGACACATTGAAAACCGTTTTCTTCAAATGCTGAAACCTTGCTGTGAATTCCAATCGAACTGAACTATCCGAAACTTTCTCCTGTATCTTGAAAGGACCAATGAAACGCAACTTCATCTTTGCCACTGTTTCTGGTAACTTCAGATCCCGCGTTGAGAGCATCACCATTTCATCGACCTTGTAATCTCGCAGTTTGCGATGCTGCTTCATCAATTTTTCTGTTTGAATTGCTGACAACGTCAATGCATCTCTTGCGATGTCGATTGCAGCCAAAATTTCATTTCTTACCTCTTCGACGTCCTCTTCTTGACCGTCTGGTGACAAATCGACCACTGTTCGAACATCACGACCATAAATAATCTGAAATGGAGTGAGATTTGTAGAATTCCTGACTGTCGAGTTCCAAATTGTCTCCAAATGAATCAAATGATTGTCCCATAATTTTGCATCGTGCTTCAAACAAAAGATACGCAACGCTTCAACAATCACACTGTTGAACTTCTCCACTCTGCCTTGTGCCTGAGGGTAATAAACGCTGCTGTGTTTCACGTCCACGCTCATGAGTCGAAACAATTCTTCCCAAAACTGAGATGAGAACAATGAGCCATTGTCTGAGACGATTGTCTTGCAAATACCTTGAGCTCGGTAAACAGTTTCAAAATAAGCCTTAGCCGCTTGCTTTGAATTGATTGATTTCTTACAAGGATACAGAAATACTCTGTTCGAAAATTGATCAAGGAATACAAGCACGCTATCATTTCCTCTCTTCGACACTGGTAACGCTGAAAGCAAATCCACAGTGATCTTTTCAAACCTTTCCCGAGGAACCAAATGACTATGCGGAACTCCTGCTGATCGTTGCTTGTAAGACTTTGCCTGTAGACATTCCGAACACGAGTTAACGTAATTTGTCACGTCCCGAACCATGGTGGGCCAAAAAGCTAACTGACTAGCCTTCAACAAAGTTTTCGTTCTTCCCACATGGCATGAATCATCATGAATTAGTCGTAGAAACTTTGATCGCGTGTGGTATGGAATACAAATTCGCTGTCGTCCTGAAGAATCCGTAAAAAACAAGAAGCCGTCTTTCAACATATAACTTCGCACTTGCATCGGAACCACATTATTCTGTCGCAAGTCCTGCAAAATCTGTGCAAAGTATTTGTCACCTTCGTAATTCTTCTTGATGTCATCAGCCAGCAAATTGTCCTGCGTCAGCGAATTGACATGTACCGTCTGTTCATGCATCTCCCCCTTCCAAGATTCAGACCTGATAACACACAACAAAGTCGGATCCAAGTTGACAAGATCTGCACGTTGTTCAATCTCCTCCTGCAACTGCTTGTGCTCTTCGATTACCGAAGAATCTCCAGGTCGAGACAAATAATCAGCAACCACATTCTGCTCTCCCGGAATATACGAAATCTCTTCAAGATCAAAGTCCGCTAGGATTTGACTCCATCTGAACAGCCTTCCTGTCAACACCTTCTGACTCAACAAGTATTGCAAACTCTTGTATTGCAAACTCTCGCCTACCAAAATGTTAGGATATGCTCCTAAACTATGATTCAAATAACAGTGCGAGTGATGCGCAGCAGTTCCTTCAAGAAACAAACAGTATCTACAATCGGTAAACCATGCACGTGAAGTTTATTCTTTCTCAATTTTCCTTAAATATAGAGGATTAGCTAAACCAGGAATCTGCCTCAGATACCTCAAAATAAAGTAAGTAAAGTTAAGCACAATAAATCCTATCACAAATAAACCTAATTATGCACAATGTATGCTTGTAGCTCTAGTAAGCCACATGGATTGCTATACGATTCTCATCCTGTGGTTGAAACAGACTTTCCATGTCGCCACAGCTACGTGGAGCATGTTGATCCTTGAGCATTTTGAATGCATGCTCAAGCAGAAATAATGTGAAGATGTTGCTTTTGAGGATCTGAACTGCAAATACTTGAATGTTTCTAGCATATTTTCAAGATTGGAGTGCATGAAAGCACCTCATTTGCAAACTGATGGTGCAGCATTGTAAACCATACTTCCTCTCTGAATCCTCGTACATACGGCTCTCATGCTTGAAACAACGAATAAGAGAGCAGAAAAGGTGTATTCATCTTTTGCAATGTATTCTAAAGACATCTTCATTCCTAGACAGCTTTCTCTGTCATGCAGTCATGTAAGAGAAGCGGAATTCAAAACTTTCTTTCAAAGTCAGAGACTAAGAAAAGGTCTTAGTCTATCTACATGGATACATTAGACGATTAAATTCTCATCCACATTCAAGCAGCAATAGATTCGAAGCCTCTCACCATGATGACTTGTCGTTGCATGCGGGTGAAGGATCAATCAGCCATCTCTTGCTTGCCCAGGGAGGGGGGATTTGGGGAAAGGAGAGTGGAGATAGCACCCTACCCCCTATTTCCCAATTTCAAACTCTTGAATCAAAGGGTAGATTTGTATTCTTTGCTAGCTACCCACCCCGCCTTTCGTAAAGGTGATGAAGGGGAACCGGGGGTATTGGCGTGGTGAGCTCCAACGGCAATCGAAATGCCTTCTTTTCCATTAGCACCCCCACGTACCGTGATACAGTGAAATGCACGGGTATGAGAGAATCTTTCGGTCCTCTACCCCTCCAGACAAAGGAAGTCACTAGGGTGGAGGCTGATTCGAGACGCCTGTCGAAACCACTTTAAAAGAATAGTACAGACTGTACCAGAGGCACTTCATCCGTACAT